CTTTGAAGAGCCTCTTGTCACTCTGCAAGGGTGTAGCCAAGAAGGGAATGTTTTAGGGATGGGGAGCCTGGCCTTTTGCAAGGGCCTTCTGCTCTCTGAAGTGAGTTATCCACATGGATTGTCTGCCACTGCTGACAAAACCTGAAACAAAATTACTGGAGGTTGTGCTTTGAGTAGTCAGTGCTAAAAAATGTATTATTTTAATTTTCAAGATTTTTTTGTCTTTAATTCCAGCTACAGCTAATAATAATGAATTATGGCAGGGCACATGGCATTTTTGCCTTTTCATTTGAAGTTCTCTGAGTTAATGTTCCCTCCGCCTCCCCTTGTATCATTTGTCCCCTGATGGAGGTAGGGAAGTTGGATCTAGAAGAATATGAGTACTCTGGATCTGTTGTGTGAGAACTGCAGCATGGCCAGTGTTTAAAATAGCCCAAACCCATTGTTTGTGCTCCATGCACCCAGTTGGGGTATCCTGCTCCGAAATGGGGTCAGTCTGCACTGAATGCTCATGGAGCCATGAATTAGGGGTTCCATGCCACCCTGGGTAAGGTCATGCTCAGGCAGCTGACATTTTAATCAGCATTTCATAACTAATTGCCTGGCCACAGCTATCTTGTTATCAATTAACATAGCCCTGAATGTCAGGAAGTAACTGTATCTCTCTAACTCCCTAAGGCTGGCTTCTGGGTCTGTGAAATGGCTGGATTTCCTCACAGGGATGGATTACATGTTTACATCTTCCCTGCTGCCGGAGTGTGTAGTGAGCATGACCCAAGTAAGCAACAATAATTTCTTCATGCTCCCTCTCTCTCCTCCTTTTCTTGTGTATGCTGTACAAGAGGGAAAAAATAAAACCCTTGTATGTGAGCTCTTGGAGCAAGCTGGAAGATATGCAGACACTGTACTGCCTGAATCCAAGAAATTAGAGGGAAAAAAATAAGCAACAGCATGTGGGAACCTTTTGAAAATGGACACTTTTCCAGACTTCAGGAAATGCCCGTAAGTGGATGGGATCATTTCAGTGATCCTCTCGGTCTGGAGAGCCCTGCCATCTCAAGCTGGAGAATATCTCTGTCATCAGCAGAAGGCCTCTCACCAAACGTGCTCCTCTTAAGTCCAGCTTTAAACATCTGATAGTCTGGAACGTGAGACTCTCCAGGTTAGGATAAATTTGACCTGCTTGCAAAACTAAGCTTCTCCTTTTCTGAGGCCAAAGAGGCTTCAACGTGGAGGGTGGCATTTTATCTCCCTTAGTGGCTGAGAGAAAAGAAATCGTTGCACTTCTGTTGTGGTCAGTCGCTGGTTGAACGGGCCATGAGGATGATCAGGTGAGCAGAGGGCTCTGTGGCCTGGCCATGCTGTTCAGCACAGGTGTGGTCTTTCTGTACGTGCAGGAAGGTGGCCTACCCTTAGGTGGCTGCTCGTTTGCTCACTCGGGCTATGGAAAGGCAGAGCTTCTTTAAGGAAGTTTTCTGTCTGCATAAATACCAGAGCAGCTGAGAAGGGACAGTGCAGATGGTGCTGATTTCCAGAGGCCATATGTTTGGAGGGACCTTGGGTACCCCTACAAGAATTCTTTGTTTTCTCAATGTTCAGTTTCAAAGGTACTCTGGAGGTCTCCTCTTTGCAGGAGACCACTGCTTCCTCCCACTCGTCCACTCCTGACACGTTTTCTCCGTCCCCTCCTTCCATCCCCCGCTGCTCCACAAGCCTCACAGCTGGATAAACAGCGCTTGCAGTCACTTACAGCCCTCCAGTGCCTTCCAGCGAGGCGCCGGCACGGAGAGATGCTTCCTGAGCAGCCCGTCGTGGGCGGACGGTCGTGCTGCAGCCCGCGTGCCAGCGCCGGCATCGCTCCGGTCCCAGCAAGATCAGGTTCAAAACACACAGGATCTGGAGGTGCTAATTACAAGTGTGGGTTCTCTGTCCGTGCAAAGCCGAGGAATTTGGTGATCTGGAAGCTCTGGGTCTGTCTGCTGGCTGGGCTTCGCTGTGGAATGGGCTTGGAAACGTTCACGGTAGCTTTTGTCGCTTCTCTGTTGACTCATCCTTTCTGTGTTGACTGTTTATGTGCAAAGGGGATCTAGCTTATCTCCTATGCAGCCCCACCTCTGTCTCACCCCAAAAGAGCCTGCTGTGAGGAGAGGAGGAACCCCCAATAGGTGCAATTTGTACTTGTGGCTGTCAAGATTGTTGGCTCCTGGTTGTTTTTGGAGCTCTTTGGAGTTTGCCACTGAGACCTGGCCCACGTGGGGGCAAGCAGGCCTGTTTTCACATGGTTGCCCCAAACTGGCTGCGCCTGCAAGACACATGTGACACAGGGACTACATGCAGTGGTGGTGTGGTGACCCTGCTGCAGTTCAGGTGGCTTTTGTAAAGGGGCCCAGGCAGCCTGGCCAACTTGTGGATTCGTTCCCTTGGCTTGCAGGGTTGTCAGCATCCCTCTCCAGGCCAGAGCAGCTCTGCCAGAGCTTTGGCCAGGGCCAAGCTCACCACACTGCCAACTGTTGGGAGTTGTTGAGGCTCAGTTATCTCCATCCTCCTTTACCCACTCCTTCCTCTAATGTGCAGTAATTTGCTACTTGTATTAAGGATCGAGCCACTTTAGAACTTCTGCTCCACCTTGCCATTTATCACTGTGACAGAATATGACCAAAACATTTTGCTGAAGCTTTATTTTGCTTTGTAAAATCCCCTACGCTTTGCAACAGCTTATCCAGCAGCACCTCCTCCCTTCCTGCTGTCTTTAGGACATCTTTCCTCCTCCTCCTCCTCCTTCTCCTTCTTCTCCTCTAGCCCATGCACCTTTATGTTGCTTTTGGAAATGACTCTGTCTGAGGGCTTTTCTTTCTCCTGGGTCACACGGATGATCCCGACATTTGAAGCCGACCCTGGATGGTCTCTCCCCGATTGACTTACTGCAGCCAAGACTGTGTCCCTGCAGCTCACTGATGAGTGTTTACATAAGACTGTGCAGTCCCCTTCACATAACCATTAATTTTATAGGGGGCACATAACAGAGATGGGCCTCCACTATTCCTCCTGCCTTTGATCTGTGTGGGGTGTGTGGCCCAGAGCTGCCGGCGTTGCTGATTTACTCTGCTCTGTGGATGGAGCTTCTGGAGCAAAGAAGAACTTGTGTTTGCTCACAGCGGTATGGCAATACCATTACAGGCTGTGCTTCTGGCTGGTTGTTTCTGGGCTGGAAGGGCAGGGATGGCTCAGGGTTTGCATGTCCTTAAGTTTTTCTTTTAATATTAGCTCAGCAGTTCAGTTCATGCAAACCATGAGTGCCCCAAGTCCACGCAGGCAGGTAGGTGGGTTATTAAGGGTCTGTAGTGTTGCTAATGGAAATAAAGTCAGTGTATTGGCAAGCTGTTAAGCATTGACCTTGTGACAGGGCATTCAGTCTGAAACAAAATCTCTCCAAAACAGTTCTCTCACAGAACTTTATTGTCATCCAAGCCAGACTTGGAAAACTCTCTTCTATTTTTTTTTTTTCCTTTCTTTTCTCCCAGTCTGGCATAAATTAGGATTCCAGTATCAGTCTGACCTTGCCCTCCTAAATGAACTGTCTGATCAGAAGCTCTTTTATTGTTTAGATTTGGTGTAGCAAGTACGACAGTGACCTCAGCATTCAGCACTGGTGGTGGGCCATTGCCAGATTTGGGTTACCCCTGCGCTCCTGTCCTAAATTTGATTGGAGTTGTTTTGAGTTGTTGAGGCTTCCAGCTGTGAGTGTTGACTTTAGCTCTGTCAGCCATCATGGAAGTGGTTATTATTTGTTGTATTTTAACCAAAAGTTACTCTCTAGAGGTAACTTCTTCTGATCGACCACAACGAGTGCTGTGTCTAACAGTGGCATTTGACAGGGCAGTTTCAGGTCACCAAACATGGTTTGAGGGAGTCATGCTAAGTGAGAGACTTCCAATGTGGATGATGTTTGTTCATCCCAGGTCTCCAGGTTCTTTTGTGGACTTTGGGCCAGGGGCATTTTCAGGATGACGACGTATTCCGCAGGTGCTCACCATGACATCCGCCTGCTGTGCAAAGAGGAGGTTGCTGCCTGTTATCTGTCAGCTCGCCTGTTTTACTGCTTAGCCTTACTTTTGGCACTCTGTGTGAAGAGAAAAAAAGAAAGAAAACACAATGTCTATAAAGTATGGAAAATGTAGAAACCCCTGACAGTTGTATGGTGTGTCTTGCTTCTCCCACAGAGAGGAAACCACAAAATAGCAAGTCCGGGGGTTTCTTTCCACACACACAATATCTGTCAGGATTTTGAGGAATTTTCTGGGAACTGATGAAAGAAATGTGCTGTTTAAGCCCTGATATATATTGTACAACTATTCTGTACGAGGGAGATGCAGTGCTCCACACTGGCAGGTTCCAAAAAAGATTTCCAAAATAAAAGAAACTCAAAGGATTTGAGGGAATCTTTTCCGAGAGGGCAGATTGGCTTCTATGGAATCGGAGGCAGAAGAAAGGGGAAAATTTGCTTGTATTAAAGAGAAAAGATACCTGATGTCTTTAATAGCTGTAGTTTCCACCTTTGCAAGAACACCAATGCTGGTGGGAAATGAGCAGGAATTTTAGCAACAAAGGGGCTTTTGCCTCCTAAAATTCAATTTTTCAGCCCCCAGGAGAGGGCGGGATGTGGAGTCATACAAATAACAAGTTCCCCACTCTCGTGTGTGCCTGAGGACCAAAACTGAGTTTGACAGTGTCAAGAGCCTGTCTTGCATGGTCTTCCCAACACAGGGCTTGGGCAGGGCTGTCAGAGGCTGCCCTGCACTCACTGCAGGTGGTTATTAGCAGCTGCTAATTGGGATACCTTAATGAACAAGCAGGGAGCTGGTGAAAGTGTATCAGCAAATGGGAGCAGCCTGAGGATTAAGCCCAAAAGAGGGTGCAATGTTTTTTTTTTTCTAGCTCTTCTTGTTAGGATTTATTGCATTTAAAAATTAATTTTTGTTTATTTTTCTTCTCTCTTTCAGGTCCGCCTGTAAGTACCAAACCTCTATGGTTTTAGAAGCTGCTGACGCAGAGTCTGTGGGGCATGAACTCGCAGCCTCCTGTCTGTGGTGTCTGGTGTGGTAGCCACCTTTACAGTCCTGGCAGCCTGGGCTATCCCAAACAGCAAGTACTGTGGGAGCTCAGGGCTGGATTGGGGTGGGATTGCTCTTGGGCTGCAGCTCAGCCTCTGAGGGGGAGCTGGAGGGATGGGGACATGGCAGACTGACGTGGTGCTGCAGAGATCCGCGTGTTACCAGTTGGCTCCACAGCCTCTGGGGGAACTGGCTGTATTCCCTTCACATGCATGGGATGCCACGTGCTGAATGAGATGTGTTTGCAGAAAAGGGAAAGACAGATCACAAACACATGAGGAGCTGAGCTGGAGGGACTTGCTCCCTGCTACTCACCCGGGCTGGCTGAACTGCCGGCCCTTCAAGTATAGCTGCGCAGCTATCAATTTCAGAGGAAAAATTGTGTTGACAGCTTCCTTTTCAAATGTTAGCTAATGTAAAACCTCAGTGCAGACAATTTAGGCTTCAGGAAAATAGCTAGGTTATTGCAGAAATTTTCTTGCAGCTATTACGAGACCCACAGTGAACCAGAAGCAGCCGTGCAAGGACTGAAGGCATGTATCGATAGCGCTCAGGATTATAAAGAAACGCTGCATTGTCTCTAGCAGGGTCCTTCCAGAGGAAATGGTTTATATTCCTGTACAATAGAGGGACTATTCAGGGTTTCTGTGAAGGAACATGAGAAGTTAAACATACGGTAGTCATCTTTTGTCTGTTCACGCAAAAATGCCTTAAACAGTTTGCAGATGACGTTCTGAGCAGTAGTTGCTGCACAATCTATTTTCTTTCCCCTTTCATCAGGCTGAAATGCTATAGACTGAACTCCCACAGATATACGAGCACAGACCTGTTTAATGACAGCAATCTTCCAGAAAGTTGCACCTTCTAGGCCAAAAGGTCTGAAAGCATTTCACAGCTGGAAACCCTGATCCACACAAAACTTCGGCGATAGCTTATCCCAGGGGCTTTCAGGGCTGGCCACTGAAGTGGATGTATTTCAGCATCAGCTGTGGCTTTTTGGGAGGAGAGCATGACTCCTCAGGCATCTGCAACTGGAGTCCCTCCATGGCTGTCACTTCACTGGGCAGCCTGTAGGTTGGCATAAAGGGGTGAGGTGGGCACAAAATTGGTAGTGGTGCTGGCATTCCTATTATTGCTGTGAGAAATTAGAGAGGAATCACTTTTGATAGACACAGTTCTCTTCTAGAGAGCAGTCAGTGCCTTTGTGGGATGAGGAAGAATACACACGCTCCGGGCTTCCTCTGCAGCAATAAGGGTTAGAAACCTAATATTGTAATGGGAGATTGAAGCCTGGCAGAAGCACATGGGACCACCAGAGAAGTGCTGACATTATATGCTACCGTATCCTGGCTTGTTGCGACCCCTGAACCTGTCTCTGCAAGCAGACTTCTAGGACAGGATGTGAGGAATGCTACAGCCAATGGAAATAACAAGAGGAAGTTGGGCAGACTGAGTGTTCTTAGCCAAAGTGGAATTTGTCTTGGACTAGTAGGACCCTCATCTCATTCAGGACCTCTTGATTTCTGATCAGCTGGCGAGTGAGATCAGCTCAGTCACTGTGAGCAAAAGTTCACCTCTGAAGAGCTGAGTCCTACATATCACCATAGGAAGTATTCCCCCACCCCTTTGTATTTCTCATGATTGAAATGGAAATGGTTTTATGAGCAGCAGCCTGAGCTTCTGCCTGGCTGATTGTCATACACATTGTTCTGGATAGTGACCCCATAGCAATGACCACCCCACATCTCCCTCCCCTTTTTGTTTCCCAGCTTGCAAAAGAGCCAACACACTGTGTGACAGGGCTTAGCTCCCAGTGCTGGCTTTGGCTTGGTGTTGGTGTGGAGATGGGCAGAAATACTCATTAGAAGTGCACTAAGTGCACTAAGCCCTGCTTGCAGTCTAGGACAACACGGACAAAATCCAGGGAAATGGATGAGCAACGCCACAGCAGTAAAAAGGAACTCCATGTTCTTCTCTTGCCCAGCCAACACTTCCAGCCTTACTCCTGAAGTCAGTCAAGGCTTTGGTGAAGGCAAGGGCAACCCGCAGTCATGTAAGATATTTGATGAGATTGGGACTAAAAGGGGTGAAGGAAGGAAGGAAGTGATGAAATCGTGCAATAGTCCTTTTGCTGTCTGGACCACATCCGAAGCAAATGATCCTCTCACGGACATTTTCTCTCCCATTTCTGATCATGCAACATTTCTGTGGCAACTGCAGCAATTCCATACATGAAAAAATAATATTTAGCAGATGGAAACTAAGGAAGAAAGTCAAAGCCCTGTAATTAGCTTGTTCTCCGTGGACTTGCAGATACCTTCAGAGCTCGTGTGGAGAGCTGTGGGTAAAGTCGTGCCAAAAGGAGAGAAAACTTCACAAGCAGGAGATTAAGAAACCAAAGCAATCAGAACTGATGGTCAAGGAGTCATGGAGAGTTTTTTTAACCATTCTGTTTCCTAAACCCTTCCATGTGATTCCATGTCTTTATTAAGCCCTCCCTTCGGAGTTCAAGGCTAGCTTTTGCTGTTTAGGTGTATTTTGTTCCACGGCCTCACAGAAAGGCCACAGCTCCTGGTAAACACTTCATTATTTCTGTTTCATCCCCCCATTCTTTCTGTCTGGCAGTACTTTGATCAGGAGGCCCCCAGCATTCATAAGGTGGTAGAAAGTAGACTTGCATAAAAAACGTGACGTGGAATAGAGTATTCCAAACGGGACACGGCCCATACAGAGTAGGGCCCACAGGAGCTTTGGAGGTCCAAACTTAAAGGGTAGCATAATCCTCATGGACCCTGCTGTGTGTGGAAAACGCTACTTTTGAAGATGTCTTTCAGAGTCTGAAGAGGCAAAGTGTTCAGTGTTCTCACTGATGGGATTTGCTAGTTGCAGCAGGATTTAGAAGGCCTGAGTCACCCTGGGACAAATGCAAAAATCCATAATAACAATATCTGCATCTGAGTTAGTCATGACTGAGGAAGGAGCGTGGGTTTTGGAATTCCAGCGGCATGATTTCCTGGTGATGGTTCCCTGCTCCCCAGGCTCACCTGGAGACTGCACGAGCCCTAACAGGCAGTTTCCCAGTGAAGGAAATGTAAACTGTGCTGCTGGCTCTCCCCTGACTCAGGACAGAGGCTGCTGGTTGCTTTTCACGCTCTTTTAACTCTGATGTGGGAGCTGCAGGCAGCTTTTCATGACTTAGTAACCAACCTACACGGTATCATCCACCCACGAGAGCTCTTTCCTGGCTCCCTGTCACAGACAACCTTTCCTTATAAACATCTGGCATTTATTGGCCGCCCTACTGGGAGCTCCCTCTTGCTGTTATTGCTTGGAGGGCTGTAACTCTGCACAGTCACATACCAGACACGGGGCCGTCATTTACCGCTCCAGGTACTCACGGGAGACCCGACACAGCTCAGCCCTGACCTTGGGCTCTTCCTGCTCAGGCACCAGCCGCAGCAGAGACAGAAGAAGCAAATTCAGCTTGTACCTCAGAAACCATGAGGGAAAACAGCCTGGGCTCGGCTCTGGAGGAAAGCAGCATTAAGGGACTAAAAGCAGAGGAAAGCTCAGCATTATGTCTTCCAGCAGCCACAAAGTAATCCCAGGGCCAGATGCCCTGAGAGCTCCACTCACTGCTGGCACACAGAGATAGGCAAATATTAGCAGGAGTGAGAACCCACCTAAAACCCTAGAAGAAAGCAGTTTCCCATAATATAGCCTCAACAAAACTTAAAATCAAGCAGCTGTTCAGGGTTTCATCCATCTGAAAGGGGTGCTTTTGCAAAGTGTATATGGCTCTTCAATTTATCGTGACATGTGCTGTGTGGAAAGGGATGCCCCCCATACTGAACAGCCTCCCCAGCTCTGCAGAAGGAAGTGGCTAAACTTCCACCAGGCTATGGTTTGATCCCAAGCAATAATGTTTGAGTTTGGGATACACAGCTTTTGTGTACACCCAGAAGAACAAACAGAGCTAAGTGCCTTCCCCTTCCAGAGATTTCAGATTATGCTCACACGCGCTGGGACTGAACGCCTGGGGAGGCACGGAGAGGTGGCACCAATGGGGCTGATGTCTCCAGCTGCAGAAACCAGAAAACCAGGTTTATGTCTACAGACACAGTCAGCCAGGGGCAGGAACATTCTGTTTTACATAAGGAAACCCCAAACATCGCTGGAAAGACAACTGAGGGATTATTATCACGTCATTTTTGCAAAATATAGAGCAAAAGCTACATGACTGCTGAAGCCATAATCATCAAGATCCTTTAGCAATGAGCTGCTGTCTTCCAGATCTGCACAGCCTTCAGTTTTGGAGACCAAGAATGCAGAGGGGGTAATTTTATTTTTTTTTTTAAATTGCATAGTACAATTTAACTGTAAGAGGCAGCCAACTGCCTTGTAGGTAAGTGGGTGAAGAGAATTGTCACTGGCCCTGTGTTCGTGTGTTTACGAGGCTCTGTCCAGTGTCACCTGACCCAAAGTCATTCCCAAAACCACTGTTAGGATCACTCACATGCTGACAATGCACTGGGAAGTATCTCAAAGGGGTAGAGGATGCTGAAAACAGCTGCTCGTATGTCTTCTTCCAGACGTGCTTTTTCCTGTGTCAGCTTGTGTTCTCACAGTTTTCTCTTACTTCTGGACAGGACAGTATTTTCAAGTCTAAGAGAATTGTGTTTTAAAGTGATAACTCTATAAATAAATAGCTAACACCCAGATGACTTTGGTCAAGAAAGAGAAAAACGTGACAGTTGGCCGCTGCAGGAAGCCAGTTCCCAGGACCTGGATTTTATGAAGTGTTGGAAATAGGGATTGTACTTTGTTTGACTGGAGACTCCTGTCCTCCTTTTGCTGCTTAAATTGCTGCATGTAATTTCTGTTGTGAGATGTGTGGGTTTGTCATATGTGGAAATGAACTTGTGGCTCACGCATTCTAGAGACCCGTTCAGGCACATGCAAACACTCTTTACTCTTTAACTTTCTCTCCCTCTCAAAACCCCTGGACACTTGGGCCACAGTGTGAAGCTGCTGCTATGGCTTAGTTCAGTTGTGCTGTTTTATAACCTTGCTTTTGGCCAGTTACCAATTCCCTTAATTTTGCCTTAATTGCCAGGGAGACAAAGGTGCGATGGGAATCCCTGGGCGGCCGGTAAGTCAAACCCTCTTTTTTGTGTGTCTTACCTTTCCCATCCTCTTCCAACCCCCAGGATTTGGGGGTGGGGGAGGGTGGCTTCCAGAATAATCCTTGTCAGTTCAGGCAAAACTACTCTCCCTGAGCCCCACACCTGAGGGGTTCAGTTTCAGAGCCACATACATCCTGGGGAGGTGTTTCCATTTCACCTGCTGTACTATCCAGGCCCTCCTCTGTTTCAGTATCCCTCTGTTTGGGCGTCTCCCGCTGCCACCCCGTGCGCCAGCTGGGCTTGCTAACCCTGGGTTTCCTAACACGCACCCCTGCTTGCCACTGGCAGCTGCCCCTTCCAAATAACTCTGCCCTGAGCAAAGGGGACCATCCCCTGCCTGGCTGAGTGCTGTATTTTGGAGCTGCTCCTTGCTCGGGCAGCCCTGGGCGAGGATGGGGAAGAGGACTGGGGCAGGAGCTGAGGCCACCCTGCTCACCCCAGCCCCATAGCCAGGGTTGTGGGGCGGGAGGGTGTGCCTTTGCCGCTGATGCCTGTGTTTGTCTCTCTCTCCCTTTCTCTCTCTTCCCTGCACCCTCTTGCATGTGGCTGTGACGGCTGCCACTGAACCAGGGACTAAAAGGGCAATCCGGAGAGAAGGTGAGTCAGCCCCTTGTAGCCTGTAGCACCCCCAAACTGTCCTCTTTTAGGGCCAGCCCAAGCTCCCCCGTCACAGTCATGGCCACTGCAGCCAGCTTTGGGCTTCCACACCCCCTGGGCTGCCCCATCTTCCGTGTCAGTGCAAGTATATTTCCCAAATTCCTTCCAGGCCAGTCAGCTTCCAAAGATGCTGTGTTTCTTGTTTATGACAATTTACTAACAGCATAAGAGCCAGTGGGCACATAAAGGGCTTCCCTCAAGCCTTCCTGAATTTTAACCATTGACTTTCTCCCCCTTGGGCAGCTCTGCTTGCCCCAGCCGACCTGCAGCTCCCCTCTGCCTCCCAGGTTCACCTGATCCCTGGTGCAGGTGGGAGCAGGGAATAAAAGTGGCATGGCACGCTCCTATTTCTGACACAGTGGGACTTCTTCCTCCTGAGGAAAGCTGATGGGTGTAGTTGAAGTCTGTGGGACACCATCTCACAGACTGTTTGCCGTGCAGTGAGTTGCAATTTGTACCCACAAAGAAGTGCTGGTTGACAAAGCGATCCTACTGCTGGCCCCCGTTTTGAAGTGTTTGCCATTTCAGTGTTAGCATGTTTTCCCCAGAGCTGTGAGTACTTCCCACCTGTGAGAGCAGGGAAATGGAGGTGTTTGGGATTTGTGAATAACTGAATAACAATGTGTAGAAATTAAGAAAGGTATGGATATTTACCTGGCAAGGAGGGTCATCTATGCAGTAACATGACAGACCTGTTTGATCTTCTTCATAACAGATAGAGAGAAAACCACGAGAAGGAAGGGTAAAGTAGGATAGATTCTTCATCCTTGCCTTCACTGTTTGCTCATTGGAGCCAACCAGGTTTATCCAAGAGACCAGAATTTCCCACCTGAGCCATTCTGCTTTTTTTTCTCTGCTTATCCTTGCATTTGTTTCTGGCCAGAGCGTTCATGAGGGGACGGCAGATAGATACAAACAATCAATGGAAAAAAATCACTCCTAATTGCCCCTGCTTCCCCAAAGCCCTCCATGAGAGCCTTAAGTCTTTGGCAGTCCACAGCTTTGTTCTGTGGAGTGCTTTGCTTTCTTGCAGGCTGCTTGGACAGGATGCTCTGTCCCAGAGCTCCTCAGCCCTGGGCACTTCTGGAGCTGCCTCTCAGGAATACACTGTTTCCAGAGAGAGTGACATGTCCTGCCCATCACACGCTGTGGGTGGCTTGGAGTTGGAGAGGCAGCTGTTCCCTTTTCCAGCAAGCACTTTGCTTTGTTTTCATCCACATCTCAACTGCATTTGAGAAGTATACAAGTGAGGCATTTCTGGAGGCAACCAAATCAGCTGCCTGTAGCTCCCATTTCCCTGGAGCCCAGTACATCCCTCTTTTTCTTTCTTCTGCAGGACATAATCCTCCTGGAACTTGCAGGAAGGAAACAGAAAGGGTTTCAGGTCATCTTTCACACTTGCAATGAGGCAGAACTTCTGTTTTGCCAGAAAGTGTTTTATGTGTTTATACTTCTCCTTGCTGTGCAGCTTCCATTTTCTGGCACATCTGAGCAGCTCTCAAGGACATCTTTTCTCCCAGATTGTCAGGCAGGAGCTGGGGGAGGCCAGAACAACCCTGAAGATCTCACACCTAAGGCACCCTCATTTAACCCCAGTGTTGACAGGAATAAAGTTGTCTTTGTGTTCTGCTCTCCTGTTCTCACCCCTTTTCCTCTGCCTTGTCTCTCTGCAGGGTGCTCCAGGAGAAGCTGGCATGTCTATCATCGGGCCCCGCGGTCCACCCGTAAGTGGCTTTTCTCTCTATTTTTGTCTGATGCAGGATGTGGGCAAGTTACTGGGAAAGACTTAGGAGGGGCATTAAGACTGAGCATCAGCTGGAAAGAGCAAAAGCCCTGTATAATGTGGTTCCTTTGCTGAGCCAGCCTTCGTTTTATACTGCTATTATATACTATATATACTGAAATGATAGCTCATATTTCAGAACAAATGAGGAAGCCTTCCCTTGGCAAGGAAACCGAATTACTCCATTTAAAAGGAAGAAGCATATTTCCTTTTTGCAACAGGGCTGCTATCACTTTTGGAGAAAATTTGCCCTTTGCCTGGCTGATTTCAGCCTTTGGTTTAATCAGCAGGGAACAAGTCCCCTGATTTTACTGAAGAGCAGGATCAGAGCTAAGCCAGTGACTGGGGAGCTCACAAAGACAAAGGGTAGTTCAGAGGTCTTTTGTCATGTGCCCAAAATCTTGGAAGCTCTGTCAGCGTGGTTACCGCTTATCAGCTGAGAAAAGGCAGGATTTTTCACCCTCTTCCAGTAAAAGTGTCTCTGCAAGGTGCAACGAGTCAGCCAGACAAAACTTTTTACAAAGACGGGGTCATAAAAAAAAAAGACCAAGATGAAGGATTGGAATGTTCTCGTGCCCTAAATGCTGGATGCTCCCCAAATGCTGGATGCTTCTTGCACTGCGGTGCAGCCATCAAGCCTCTGCTTTTGTGTGGGTGCAGCCAGACCTCTCCACTCCATCTCTGCACAGCCTCCACCGGAGATTTCCATGAAAAAAGACCTGGAGATTCAATTCTCCCCCTCCCAGCGGGCACTTCCGATTTTGATTAACCTGTGAAGAGCACCGTCCTTGACCTGCAGAGAGGATGGGCTGCTGGCAGCCTTTGTTTCACCACGGAGGTCAAGTGAGAGAGACCTAGGCACTGCGAACACTTGGCTACATCTGGCTTTCCAATTAACTTCCCAAAAGCCCTATGACAAGTGTTCCTAATAAAAAACAGCTTTGCCGGTCCCCAGACCCACCTGCCGGGGATGCTGGAGTTTGAGAAGCGACAGAACCAAAGCCCAGGACCCAAATGGGTCTCCCCAAATGTTTTATGCCTGGCAGATGGTCCCTGGCCACGTGTCCAGGCAAGGAAGAAGGGCTGGCAAGTCTCTGAGCAAGGTCTGAGCAAGACCACCCTGCTCCACAAACAGCAGATTTTGGAGGGTAAGTGCCCTGTTGCTATTTCTCACAAGCTCTTGCTCTCAGCCTTGTGAACAGTGTAATTATAGTAATCGGAGAGAAAAGCTGTCAGCTCCTGTCCGAGTAGGTCCTGCAAAGGGGACAGTTTTCTTGAAGGATACATGCCTGGGCTGCAGGACAATTTTATCTGCTTTGGTGCTGCTGTGTTTGCTGCTGTTTGGGAAAGTGCAGAACACTTTTTGCATCTTTAAAGCAGCAGTAAAATTAGATGGCAAATGGTATCTAAAGTGGGGTTTTGCCTACACCAATCAGAGCTCTGAGCTGCCAGGACTGGCCCAACTCCACACTTTCCCCCTGCAAAGCCTACTGTGAAGATGATCCAGTTTCCTGGGGAGCTGGTGATAGGTCAAAAGGATGGCTGAGCACTGAAGACAAACACGGAAACCCTGGCCAAGGGGCCACTCGGAAAGATGTGGGATGACAAATAGTTTCCAGATTTTTGTTGGGAGGTTAAAGTTTTTGCTTGAGCTCGGAGCTGCTTAACTGCCGGCCAGAGAGGGACAGTGCGCCGATAGTGGCAGAAACAGACGGTCTCCATGATTTGGCAGCCCCCAGGATTACATACTTCATACAATCAACATTTTAAAAAGGAGACAAGGAAAACCAGCCACCCAACAAAAACAGTCTCTTGGAATCGCTCGCTGCTGAACTGTTGTCTTGGCGTGATACCGTGCAAATCATTCTGCTGTCCTCCAAGGAGAAAGAGGCAACAGTCTGTAGTCTACAGAGGAAGCCAAATTGCACCATTTCCAGCTTTTCCCCCTAATTCTTTTTTTAGCACTTTTTGTCAGGGAGGTGTCCAACAGGGAACCAAAATTAATGAATTCTGGCTAGGCTCTTCTTGCTTCTTGCCTTTTCAGAAGCCAGCGGTGGACAGATCCTTTAATTTATAGCCTATCTTCCCTTCTGGTCACTGGCCAACAGGGCCAGGTGGTTTTGTGTGTATCTTGCGAAGCAAAGCTGACCAAGTTCAACTTTGCAGAGCTAAAGAAACAGTGCAAATGTGATTAGGTCCTGCTAGCATTGTGTACAAAACCAGAACTCTTCAGTGTTCTTCAGTGATGTGAGGGATTTTGTGGTGGGGGCATCCCTCAAACCCTGCAAAGAGGCTATTTGGGCCCATCCTCTGCAGGGCTAAACCTTCAACTGAGTCTCTCTGCAGACAGAGGGTGGTTGGAGATGTCAGCTGAAGGTGAAGGTTTTCCCTATCAGTGTAGCTCTGAGGTCTCCCAAAGGATTGTCATTGCTTCACTGTGGCAAACCTCAACCTCCCAGCCCAGGAGGCCCATCCCCTCCTTCCCCTTCCCTTCCCTCAGTGCCACATGGGATCACTGTAGTTAAGGCAGAGATGCACCCTGTTTGTGCCCAGCTCTTTCCTAGGAAACCCCTGTGGAACTCCAACAGTCATGGTAGTTCAAATGGCTGAAGAAAGCATTTGATTCCCCAAAATCAGAGAACACATAAGGAAGCTGGGCACTTTTGTGTCACAGCACAGCATTCAGGGTAGACAAGATGCCACAGTGGTCACCTGATGAGCATGGCACAGGATTTATCCGGGTGTTTCTATCTCCATGAGTGTGCTTCAAGATCTGCTGAAGTCTTGGCCAAATGGACCATGTGCTTCCAGACCTGGCTCATGCTTTTTTTGGGAAACAGACTGCAAAATCCTTAAGTGAAGTGGTATCTTTCTTGGATACCAACAAAGCTACGGTAACTGTGACCCAGGATGTCACAAAAATTGAAGAACTACATAAAATTAACAGCCAGGACATTTTCTCTTTTTTTGGTGTTCTTAAGTAGGGGATGAAGAAGCTTCCAAACACATCCCAAGCCAGTGTTTGCTGTACCTGATCCCAAACTGGTAGCCATAGCCAGGAAGGGGTGGGGGGAAAAGTCTTGGTGCTCACGTTCCTCTCATCACACAGCCTAACTCTCTGTCTTAGCTCTCAGAGGATAAAAAAGCCCAAACAAAACAGAAGAGAGAGAGAGAGAGAGAAAAAAAAAAAATCATCTCCAGAATTATTTGTGAGGAAAATAAATGACCTAGGACACAAGGTGAGGGGAGGAGGAGGAGAGTGATGGTTGTATTTAGACAGCAGTGATCTGCAAGACTTGTCTTGCACAGAACAGCACCCTGCATTAAACATCTCAGGTTTATGGCAGCAAGAATTGCCATAAAATGAGCTCAGCCTCTGGAATATACTCCAAAAGCCTAACATATGGGCTAGGGAGACCCATTTAATTAATGTAGAAACTTCAAGGAAACTGCTTGCAATCCAAACTGGAGCTGCTCCAGCATTTTCTTGGCCCTGTACAAATTGGAGTGGGGATGAGAGATTTCCCCTCCCTCCCAAGACACTTTCCCCTTGGAGGGGAATTGGGTATCTCTTCAGAGAGTTGTAGGATAATTGGTCAGAGGCTGGAGGAAGGGCTCTGTAGAGAGAACTTAGGATCCATCAAAATTCATTTCAGTTCCTCTAAACTGCTGTCTCTGTTTCATCCTTCCCAGGGACAGCCTGGAACAAGAGGTTTTCCTGGATTCCCGGTAAGTGTAACTCTTAATTTATGAGGTACGGATGTGTGATATTACTAGGAAGCCTCATAAGTGCTTGCTGTATCTCATCGTTTCTTCCTGAAACCAATGGCCTGATCTGATATCACTGGAAAAAGCAATTTTTTCTTCATTTGTTTTTCTGCTTTTTTTTTTTTTTTTTTTCTTTTCTTTAAAACGATATTTAGGGAGAAAATAAAAACCAAACCAAACCACACAACTCTGAAAGGAAATTAATTTTTAAAAAAAGCCCCAAGTGTTAAAATAACATAGTTAAAGCCAGATCTGTTCAGTGAAATACAACCATCCTAAGAAATACCCCTACCTCATACAAAGAAAACAACCCCTAGGTAGGGGAAATTCCAATTTTAATGGAGCTTTTAGGTGATATTCTGATAGAACAAGTGCATGGGATCCAAAAAGGACCCTGCCTGTTGAGGGTCAGCTGGGGACTGTGCTTGGCTGCACACCCTGGTCAGGCCAAAGGGAAAGGACCTAAGACACAAGGAGGAATTCTTCTCCAGCACAGTTGCAAGGGAACAGAGATTATACCCAGGAGAGGACAAAGCAAATTTCATTTCAATCCTACAGTTGCTGGCAGCACTCTCTGAAGCACTGAGGCTGCTGAAGAACTCAAACAGTTGCTATTTATTCATATGCATTTACCCTAGACAACTAGGAAGCCTGAGGCAAACACAAACACCCCCCACAAACATCCCTGCTCCCGCCAGGCAGCTCAGCTGCTGCTCTGGGATGCTGGATGTGCCAGAGCAGGTCTGCGGGGGAGACTCTCACGCCTGGAAAACGGGAGGAATTGGCAGCCTCTGAGCTGTCTGAGCAGGCTCCACAGCTCTGCCCCTTGTGAAAAGGGGGCTGTGAGCTGCCCCTGGGCTGAGGAGAAGCAGATCTCTCCAGGCCCTTGTGGTCTTTGGCTTTTGGAGGAGCAGAAAACAAATTGGCCCACATGAGAAAGTGCTGGGTGGGACAGCTCTGCGGGGCCTGTTTCTCATCAAACAGTACCTTCAGCATGTGCTGAGCTGTATGTCACCTCTTCCCTGGGACACTTTTATTATTCTATCATTTGCAAAAATTCCTCTTCCCCCAAAGCTGGGTGCCCTTTTAAATCAAAGTCTCAAGAAAAATGCTGATGTTCAACTAGTTTACCAAACACTGGGAAATTTAAAATTCTGAGATTTTATTTTTTGTAAATTGCCTGTGAATCCCTCCTTGCTTCTATTCCTGTGTCCAGCATTGCTGCTGAAATGTGCTGACAGCGAGCAGGTGCCTGCTGAAGCAGTCTGAAATCTGGGCTGGTACTCTGTGGGCCAGGGATCTGCCAGGACAGGGAGGGCAGGGAGTCACCTCATGTCACCCCAGCCCATGCAGTCTCACATCCTGGGGCAGATGGACAGACACCCCGGGGCAAGCATTTCTCATCATTTTTCCTCGTTTTTCTTCTTTTATTTCAGGGCCCTATTGGCTTGGATGGCAAACCGGTAAGCAAAGAACTTCTCTGCAGGCTTCCTGCCCTGCCTCCTGCTAGGTCCCACTGTGCTGCCAGCCCGTGTCTTACACCCCATCTTTTAGGGGGATTATTTTGCAAGGCCATGCACATGCATGGATTAAAAGAAAATTAGGAGGTTGGCAGGCAGGAGGATGCCACAGATGCCTTGGGAGAGATGCAGGAGTCAGGAGATTAAGGAAGGCACAGCATGGCCTATTCCTTTCTAGGTAAATCTGTAAAATAGCTGTTCACAAGTGCAGCAGCCTGGCTGCTGCAGGGAAAGCCTTAGCAGGCACTCCCACCCAGCATCAGACAGGCAGAGCAGATCCCTGAGGTATCAGCCCTCTGCCTTGCTGCTGTGCTGAGAAGAGCTACAGTACAGAAGGGAAGGATGCTAAAGAACTCTGTGAGGCCTCCATGCTGTCCTTAGAGATTTGCAGTAGAAGCCCAAGTTCTTCCCATCCTTCAGAGAGCTGAGAGCAAATGAGCTACTTCTCTCTGAACCCCATGGACATGAGACCTATAGTTCCATGCAGCAGCCATGTGGCCAGGTTCCCCACCACACTCCTCCAGTGCTGGAACACACCTCTGACTTCTCATTTCCTGCAGCAGGACCCTGTTTTTGCCATGAACTTCACCCCCAAGAGAGATGCAGCTTTCTTGTTCTGCTCTGGGGACACACACTTCACTCAGCAGAGGCTGTTAGATCAAGATCATCGAGAGTCTGCAGTGGCCAAAGCTGATGTGTGTTTCCTTTCTTTTTCAGGGCCATCCTGGACAGAAGGGAGAGATGGTAAAAATACATATATTTGTCTGTGGGTGATGGGTTGGTTTGCAATGATGTTGTGCCTCAGCTGGAAACAAGCTCATGGGCAGGGTAGCAATCTTAGCTCAGCTGATGCACTAGCTGCATCCCTAATTCTGTAACTGCATAATAGCAGTGCCGGGATGCATGCCTGTAATTTTTGCATTATGGCTATCACATTCATCATGTCACAGCAGCAACTCTCTAGTTAGGCATGGGATGTGTTTTCCTTGCAGTTAGCAATTATGTTCTTTAAATATATTCTGGGAGCTGACATTTTTCGTGGTTGGCCTCATAGGACAAGTAAAAGTTGATGGAAAGATTTCTGAAAACCCATCTGGCAGCTTTCAACTTATCTAACAACAACCACAAAAAGCATATTTTTTGTATTAAATGTGGTCCCCCCCCCCACCCCCTTGAAGCTCTGTTTCATATGTGCATCATACAAAAACGCTTTGGGTTGAAAATGGTAAACTTAGACTGCACTTTATGGAAGCCCAGTGCTGTCTTGTTCCTCTTGACATCTCTGATGATGAAATCCCAAATATGAGTATGTCAAGAGAGAGGCTCTGTAGGCCTCGTTCACTAAAGTGTTGAATGTTTTCTGCTAATTCTGTAATTCTGTTTTTTGGGCCTGAGTGTCAGTGTAGCCCTCTGGCAAGCACATGTTGAAGATCCCCATCCCCACTCCACTGTTGCTCAATCCTAGCTCAGCCTTCAGTCCTGGCTGCTTCTGGTTCCATCCCAGCACTGTCAGCTGAGGTCCTGGGAACAATAAGGGTGTGTTTTCCTGATGATTTTTCCCCCTCTCCTTTTAATATTTCTCCCCCGTGGTACAGCCAGAGCATGTGTGCATTTTCACTCCTCCAGAGTAACAAAGGGAACCCGGATCTCTCTTGGGAATTTTCTTCACAGCTGTATCTAAAAGCTCAGTTTTTCGCCTACTCCATACTCTGTCTTTTTGTCACTGTAAATGGAAAACCATCCCATTAAATTCTGTGTTTCTTTAAAGGGTGCTGCAGGTCCCAGGGGACAACCTGTAAGTATCTCATCCCTATCCCATCTCTCCCCTAATCCCTTTCCCCTTGCATTCACTGAACTCCTTCATTTACTGAGGCCTTTTTTGATCACTTTTCTTTTTTAGGGACCCCCAGGACAAAAAGGAGAGAAGGTAATTTCAGTGGGGGCCTTGTTAAAAATTGAAAGAGAGGAAGGGACTTGGTGCTTCTTGATCTGACTGTGGGTGAGGAGTACGAAGAGCAGAGGGCTTAGGGGGTTGGGGACAGGAGGCAGAGTGCAGACTGGCATAACTGCACTGAGTTTGATACAGTCAAAATGATTTACACCTTCTGGATCTGACCCTGCGTGCCTATTTTGGCCGCCTCTGTGGTTTAAACTCTTTCCTTTTTAATCCCCTTCTTTCACAGGGTCAGTGTGCAGAGTACCCGCACAGGGTAAGTCATTAGCGTTATTATCCTCTGTCCCGTGCCTTCCTGCATGTTAATCCTCCTGCGTTTGAATGGCTTTTTGTTGGAAGTAGAGATCGCTTCATTAAGGAGATGCGTCATCTGGGCCCCCAGGGCAGTGCTCGGCTGATTGATGTGTTTCGCAGAAAAGCAGCAGATAAGGTTTTCCAGGAGGGATGTTGGTTCTCCCGTCTGTTCCTGCCCACCGGAGCTGACCCCTAGATAGCCGCTGTCAATTCTGCTTCCTGGAGACCCCCCTGTGCTTTGTGCTGGAGAGGGGAAGGTCCACGTCCTCACCCTAAAACCCAGTGAGACCTGAGGGTTCTGGAGGATTAGAGGTCACCCACCCACCATGCCTTGAGCTGCTGCACTGGCTCCGTGCTGCTTCCACAGCCTCTGCTCGGGTTGTGTGGCCGGGAGCAGCGTGGGGTTTGAAGACCCGGGGTAAACTCTATCCACATTCCTCCCTTTTCCTTCTCCCTCATCCTGGTGTCATCCCTGCACAGAGACGAGGGCAAGGGTTATTGCTCCCTGCCTGAGGGTAACCCTGCACCCCCTGGCCATGGTGCTCTGTCAGGTCCCCAGCCTGCTGGTCCCCATGCTGGTCCCCGAGACTTTCTGCCTGCAAGGAAGAGGCTGAGCAGGAGGGTCGATGCCAGCAACTGTTTAATGAAAGTCAGGATGTTGCCCCACCTGCCCCTTCGTCTTGGCCTGGCCAGCATGTGCCGCAGCCAAGAGTGGAGAGAGAACATCATGGGGTTTGAGGGGATTTAACCAGTTCTAAAAACAACCAGAGTGCTGAAAATCCACTGGAAATGCATTGGAACGACATCATATGAAGTGGCTGGAATTTGTAATCTGGGTGTACAGGGAGACAAGCTTAAGAGCTTTCTGTTTATTTTTGATGGGCCTCTGGATAATCAGCTGGGCTCTGGTCCCGGGCCCGGAGGGAGCAGGGTTGGAGCCTGGGGAGAGAGCTGGGCTGGCAGCAAGGGGAGAAGGGGGCTGTGGGTAAGTGCCAGTCCCCCGTGCAGTAACAGCCGCTCAGCTGTGTTTATTTAGTGAGCCGGATCACTAGATTGTTATGTTAAAAAGAAGCCAACAACACTGGTCACCCAAGCAGTGTCCTGAGTTCCTGTTACAGCCCTTGGCTCTGACTGTCCTCAGCGCTCAAGGTGAAAAGCAGTGGCAGGACCTAAAGCAACTCCACTGGAAAGGGAGCTGGTGCATCCCAGGAAATAGCCTGGGCTCAGGCCTGGGGGCAGAGGCACGCTGGTTTGGTGGGCCAGGGTTGTAGGGTGAGTGATGAGCTGCAGGGCTGTGACAGTGGGAAAGGGGTGGGTACAAAGCCTCACATCCTGGCAGTGTTTTCCTTGCCTCTCATGGAGATACTTTTGGTCTCACGAGGCACCAAGCTCAACATTATAAAAAGCCCATGAGTTGTTCAAGGCTGAGACATGCTCACGGGAAGGGTGACTGTCCTCAGATCAACTCAAGGACAGGCTGTCCTGAACTGCAAGTTCAGGGAGCCAGAGGCACAGACCAGCCAGCAGAGGTGCAGTTCTCTTTCTCCCGGAATGAAAATTAGGATGGGCCTTGTTGCAAAAAGGAGACGCTGCTGACCGAATTGCAATTTATTCTTGCTTTTCTGTTTGACAAGGTTCTTTATCAGATGTTCTGGGTGAGGAAATGAAAACCAGCATCCTGACAACCCGGGGATGTTGTTTCAGTTTTGTTTCATATTTGTTTTCTTAGGAAGGAAATACAAGGTTAGGATATGAGCCTTGGCTCTTGTTGTAGTTTCCTATTTTTTTGTCTGTGTGAGTCTGTGTGGCCTGCGCTGCTGTGAGGGATGAGCCCACACCTTGGGGCTGCCCATTCAGGGTGAGAGGGCCACTCAAGCTGCTGCAAAGTGCCACTCAGGGATCTGGGGGGGACCAGCCATGCTGTGTTTGCTCTCAGAAATGCTGTCTGTGTCACTGACCCCGTTTGTCTGATGTGTGTTCACTGTTCCCCAGGAATACCTAAGTACCACACTTGCAGCCCTGCGCTCTAACCAGATCCTTACGCTGAAGGTTTGTGGGGAGCGGTCTGAAGGGACCCAGTTCTGATGCAAAGGCTCAAGGGTGCAGATCCAATATTGCATGCTTTCTTCTGAAAAAAAATTCCCACTGGAACACAGAGGGGGCAGGGCAGGAGCTGGGTGGAAGTGCCTTCAGATTTCTTCTCTAAATTTCCCACTTGCACCTGAATCCATTGCAGGGTCTTGTCTTGACTGTTTTCAGGACTGGTTCTCTCCATTGTCATCCTTTCCAGCATCCTCCCTCAGCTTCCCTGTAAGCTGTATAATATTTCAGATACCCTTCAGCACTTGAGCAGGCAGGCAGAGCCAGCTTAGCTGGCTCTCCTGAGCTAAGGGACCTCTTGCACTGTCTTTTTGAAAAGGGAGGTTTGCCTGGGGATAAAATCAGCCCAGCTGAATTTCCAGCAGCGCTGCTTTTGGAGTGATAGCTTGTGGCTGTCTGCATCAGTGCATTTGAACACAACCACCTGATCATGATGCTGCAAAATTGGGTTAACACTGCTCTTTGCAACAGGACTGGATCCTTGCTTTCACTGCACTCATGAAGAACAATGTTTAAAGGGAATAAAATGTGCTGCTTGGAAGTGTATGTTTTCTGTGGTGGGACACCTGTGGGCACACCTCTGAGATCTGAGCGCACAGCTCACGTGGGGAAATGTCACACATGAGCATGTTTTTGTGCCCAAGCACATAAAGGCTCTCTCACTTCTCCCTGTGTAAATCAAGAGCAGCTTCAATGGAAAACTGATAGGAACAGGAAAGTGGATCAGGCCAGAGCAGCATTCCTGGGCCTGGAGCCGGCATGGTGGGTGCCAGGGTGACAGCAGCATGCGTGCAAGTGGAAACTGGATACAGCAAAAGGATGAACAAATGCTCCTGAGCTTTAGTGCATTTGATTTCTGTGTGTCCGGGTCAGCTTTGTGCCCTGAGGCAGCATTCCTGGCTATAAGCAGTCAGAAGGTGATGATACTGTTGAGCAAGGAAAAACAAAGCACAGGCTGCCAAGGCAATGCCCTGCTTAGGTGTCAGCTCCAAGGCCTGGTTTTCTCCCTTGGCCATGGTGATTGTGTCTGCCAAGTGCAGTGAACCTGGCCAGGACCTCTGTGCTGACCCCAGCTAGCCTTTCTCCACTCCCCTCCACACCTGGAAGGAGGGTGACACCTGGAGATACGCTGCGTTTCTTGTAAGAGAAATAGAAAACTGCACTTGCAAAACTTTGAGGAAATGGTGATTCTGATATTTGCCTGAAATCTGATGATGAGAAGTTAAGAGAAACTTAAGAGAAAAGGAGTCCCATCACTGGGCACCCTAGCAGAGCCAGTGAGGGGATGTTCTTGCAGTGAGCACTTCCTCAGGAGATCAGCAGAGCTGGGTCAAAAATCCCCAGGTTGTATTTCTGAGCAGAGGAAGCTGTGAGAGCTCTGTGAGGTGGGAGCATTGGGGTGGTGAGTGGGCACCCCACGCCTGCCAGGCTGGCACCTGGTGGCTGTGAGCAGCACAGAGGAGCTCAGAGGTCTGCCAGCAGGTACCTGCCCCGCGCCACTCTCACGCCGGGCTCTATTCTCACGGCAATCTCTCTGTTCCCCTCTTCTCTGTTCTCTCCCCTGGCTTCTCTCTGACTCTCGGTGCCCTAATGGCCTCCTTTGCCCTGTGACCTTCTGGTTTGATCTTCTTCAGCTGTTGCCTCTCCTCAATTCAGTGCGCCTGGCTCCACCTCCGGTCATAAAGAGACGCACTTTCCAGGTAGACTTCTCCTTGTTGCCTGTTTCTGAGCTTTTCCCATTAATGCTTGCCATTAATCAGCTTGCTACCTGTCTTTCTTCCCCTACAGAGGGCTTTCCAAGAGTTTCAGGCAGAGCTGAGAGACTTTCTTTAAATCAGAGGAAATCTTTGATGTGATAATGTTGCTAAAAAGAAATGCAGTGAAGCCAGTTTTTTGAACTAATAGAAATGGGCCATGAAGCTGTTCTTGGGGCTGTCGACAAGCAGCCTCCTCCCTTAAGGAGTCAGTTCCTGCATATTCAATCTCCAGAAGAGGTTGGAAGCCTCTTGCTGAAATACATCAAATGTCTGTGAAATTTAACTGAGATGAATGAATAGGCAAACACTTCTTCTAAGGGCTAGTCTAGTCTGAGGCACTTGGGGAAATGTGTTTAAATAAGCTCTTAGAATGGTTTCATTAAATTGCATTAAATCTTTGTGTAAACACATTTATTTTGGTTTCCAGGGCCATAATTCATGTTTAGTTTATTTTGGGAATGAATTCATAAAGTGAATTACGGACATATGAATAGTGAATAAGAGTGTCCGTAGTCAGAGTTCATGTGGCTTTTAATGAGCCCACTTTACGCTCCCTCATTCCCTCAGTCGGAATTAGCTTGCCTGTGTGGACAAACTGCTGCAATTACCCTGCTGAAGTGTGCTGGGCACTCTCTATGAAATGGCTGGGTTTTGTCACCCTGCTGCCTGTCTAGACAGTTGGATGGTGCAGGGAACTTCAGGATGCAGGAGAGGTGCCTGGTCCTTGCCCAGCGCTGGACAAACCCTGACCTTACCACTTGAGCCCGTGGTTTCAGCTCAGTTTCTATCGATTCAGCATTTGCACCACCAGAGCCCCATGGATTGCGCTGTTTGCCCTTCAAAGTGACAGTCTGGAGAGCCAGGCCAAGGACTGACCTCTTGGGAAGGCTTTGAAAGCTGAAGTTCCTCTCCAGGATGAAGTGGGAAACTTGAATAGCTGCCCTACATCCTGTCGTCAGCCAGGGTTGCAAATTCCCTCTGTCTGCAGAGGAAAACTTCACCGGAGAGTTTTGCCATGATCCGTTTTGCCTTTGCCACATTCATTCTCTAAATGCAACGGGGCCTGGTCTGCTCCTCCAGATCTGCCAGCACCAGGCAATTCCAGGAGCCCAGCTTATGAATACTAAGAAAAAAAGTGAGACTGCAAAATGGATGTTAGCACCAGCTCCTGGAAGAGAGGAAAACCCTGCTGCTAGCTCAGAGCACATCAGCAGGAGTGCTTTGCCCAAGGGCTGGGGCTTAGCCGAGGCATGGGCAGAGTGGGGTCCTCCCTGAGGAGGCTGAGCAAGCATTGCATTGCTGGGGTGCAGTCAGGGTGGCTGGCTGGTGCTTAAAAGAACTAAAAAATAGTTCCAGTCGACAGCTAAAAATATAGAATGACAACTGAGGAAAATGACACCTGATCTCCCACTTACTGTGTCCACTTACTGTATCGACTTACTGTCCATTTAGCTCTGTGGGGGTCCTTTTGTGCTGAACACTTTAATGAGAATATAATGATGTGGCACTAACACTTGGTGTGTTTAGGGATCTGCAAGGATGGGCACTTGCCTAGACAAAGTCTGCTGTGCCCAAGACAGCAAAGTGACAGCAAACGGGACTTTGGGTGAGCTCCTTCCAGCCACTCCCTGTGCTGGGGCAGGGCTCCTGCTCTGCCCAGCTCCCTGTCCCCTACCAGCACCCCATTCCAGCATCCCATTCCAGCACCCCATTCCAGCACCTCATTTCAGCACCCCATTCCAGCACCCCATTCCAGCACCCTATTCCAGCACCGTGCTGCACTTTAGTGCCCTAAATTTGGAGCATGGACTGAGCTGGCAGAGAGCAGCTGAAGTGTGGCTGGAGGAGGAGAGCTGAAGTGAGATGGGCAAAGCCCCCTTTGCCTTCCCGTGGTGCATCCGTGCTGGGGGTGATGTAAGATTCAGTGGGAGGAAAGTCTTTGAAGCTGGAATGAGAGGTCAAGGCAAGAGGAAATCTAGAAATATATTCCAGTGTCCTCCCAACATCTTCATTAGGTCCAAATTACCTTCCATATTTAAAAGCTATGAGACCATTTACAGGACAGTTGAATAGCACTGAGTATGGAGGGAAAGGAAGCTTAGGAAAGAACCTGCATTCCCTTGCAAGGGCCAAAGGATGAATGAAGATGCACTTTAAAAATGGGGATAAGCAAGGGCACCCCTCCTGCCTGGCCCAGCAGGCTTCCCAGCGTGGGCTGCGGGTTGGGCGGTGAGGCACAGGAAAAGGGCTGTTGCTCCACATATGACCGAGCTTCTCGTGAGCCTGGCCCACGTGTTGGAAATTTTCTTTTAAATAGAGCTCGTGGCAGAAAGGATGAAATTTGCAGCTTACTACTTTCATTTATCATTCTAAATAAAGCAAACATCCCTGTATGTTTTACTAAAGGCAGCCAGGATAAACAGCGCGCTTGGTAGGAACACAGGGGACAGATTTCATGCGTTTTCCTCCAGTGTATGAGGTTGTAGAGAGGATAAATGCAATGGAGACCAAATTGCACAGCCACTGACTTTTGATTGAGAAACAGCCATGTTTGGTTTCTAGCTTCTTGTGGATCCACCAAGGAAATCTTTTCAGATTTAAATTGGATCACTAGCAGTAGGCAGTCATGGTATATTATCTAGGGAGGTGAACCTAAGCAAACAGCCTAGCACGGGGTACCACAATGCCCTAGGAGCCTGCTGGATTCATCAATTATAGATAATCAGTCTGGTATTCAAATGTGGTGCTTCCAACCCACTGTCTCCTCAGTGCCGCTCGGTGCCACGTCCAGGTCCCTTGGGCCAGATGACATTGCTGAGGCATGAGCCACAGCCACCAAATGGCTACTGAGGGGCCTGGGGAGGAACTGGCTCAAACAGCTCCATTTCCAAGAGCTGAGAATGGCAGGTGGCTCAGCATGCACTGCCTTGTTAAATCTCAGAAAAACAGGCTCTGCCTGGTGTACGTGGGCCTGCCTTGGGTGGGCTCCAGGAATGCCATGATGATCTTGTTATTTTCTTTTGGGTTTGTGGCATTTCTACTTTTGGTCCTTGGCAAAACAGAGGGAGTGTTGTCCAACAAATATAGTATGGGGGAAAAACAGGCTGAGGTAAGACACTGTGGCTCTGCCTGGAAGTGCCAGTGTTGTCATGGGAGGCTTTGCTTCACATGTGACTGTCAAGTGCTTTGGAAAGCCTCCTCAGAGACTCGAGAGACGTTGGTCTTTGACACATAAATTTTACTCGACTGGCTTAATGAAGAAAAAGGTCTCTTTGGATTGCTCTGTCATCACTAGAGCCCTTTAGAAGGGAGCTCTGACCAGGTGACCTCAGATGTCTTTGCAAACCACTGGGTGCTGGCTCCTGCTTCCCAGCTGTCCTTGGCAGGGCTCTCCGTCACTCTTGGAAACTTCTCCTGGCAGTAACCCGGGACTTGCTTCTATCTCCTCTGTTTCAGTCAGGCTGGCCTGCCTCTGGCCCTTAGGGTGGTGGTGGTGGTGGTGGTAGGGGTTTGCTCCCCTCGCTGGTAACTCTTCTTTTCCAAACTGCAGGGTGAACAAGGACAAGCGGGGATCCAAGGTCCCCCAGGGCCCCCTGGTCCGCCAGGGCCTGCTGGACCAGCTGGACCCGAAGGAATCCCAGGACGTCCTGGGCCAATTGGACCCCCTGTAAGTCCTTACCAAAACCCAAATCCTTCTGTTTCCTCGTGCCCTAGGGCACAGGCTGTTTCCTCTGGCCTCTGCTGCTTCTAGGGAAGCTGAGGTAGCCATGGACAGGAGGCTTGCAGAGAATATGGATGTGTGGAGAGGAAGAAGTTCTGGGGAAGGAGGGCAGTGAGAGGGGAGGCAGAGATGTGAACTGGGCACTGCTGCTATCTGGACTCACAGTGAGTGACACCAGGCTCATTTCCTCCTCCTCAGCCCCTGCAGATGGCCCTGGGGAGGAAGTAACACATGGGGTGTAATTGTGGTGCTCCCTGCCACCCCTTTGAAGTCCTGTCCCTGTCCTAGCAAGCAGCCGAGGAGGGTGGGAACAGAAGCAGCATTTATAAAATACTACCATTGCTGAATGGCAGGGCAGAGGACAGAAAATGTTGCTAATGTGCCTCTCTCTTGCAACAGGGCAGAGCAGGAGAACCTGGAAAACCTGGCAGAGATGGAAAGGTGGGCACCAGAAACCAGCTCCGTTCCTGGGAGCTGCAGGGGCAAGCGTGGCATGCTGGCTGTGGAATGAAGGGAGCTTCCATCTCAAAGGGTTTTCAAGGCCTGCTAGCAGGACAAGCAAGTCTCATTCCTGGAGGCAAATCCACACATGATCCAGGGGTCAGGGATCCTACAAGCATCCTCATTTCTCTCTGAGAGATCTTCATATCTCTCTGAGGAGCCAAGGACAGGATGGCTAAACACCTGAATTGACAAAGCAGGCAACATCAAGGGTGGTATAGGCATCAGAGCATATCTAGAGTAGCTTTCCTTTCCTGCCTGCTCACAGGCAGCTCCTGCATAGATATTTTGTTTATTTATATTTACACACACACATATGTCTGGTATGCTTCATGGTTCATATCAGGTAAATTGTTTGGTTATTTCTCATTTAAAGACACAAGTGGTTTGTTTGTTAATATATTCTCTCTGTTTAGCTTGCCAGAGGAAGCTGCAAATGCCTGATTTACTGCAGAGCTGCAGTGGGCTGGGGACAAGTTCCCCAAGCAAGCCAGAGAAACAGAAAAGATTCTGGAGCATAATGCATAAGGCAAAGCAGGTTTTTAGTGTTCAGATTCAGCAAGGACAAACCTGGGGGATGGAGCACTATGGGCATTAATTCATTTGGCTGTATGGACTAAGGTATCTACATGAAGAATAGATTGGGGATGTTTGAGCTCACCAGTGCAAATCTCAAAGGGGTGTTTCAAATCAAACCAGCCAGAATCCCACCCCCCCATCACCCTGCTGTCCATGTAATGTCTACACTTTCCAACCCCAGTGTCTGTTTTGATTTTATCCACAGGGCTTACCTGGGCCTCCTGGACCAAAGGTGAGACATCTCACCTCACTTTAGAGCTGTAGAAAGATGATGAGCAGAGATGGACTCTCTTGACGAGGACAGATGTGTACATTTTGATGAATGGAGGAGGGGTAAAAGAGGTTACATCAAATAGCTGAGAAAGATTCCTGACCCAGCTCAGCGTTGCCTCTGGGGCCCAGCCCCTGTGCTGACTCATGGGTTTTGTCCAGGCCACACGTCTGAGCTGCATCTCCACTGAGCCAGGCACGCCTCATCAGCCCATCTTGCAAAATTGTTTGCCACACACAGCTTTATTGGCTCCTGCCATTCTCAAAGCATTTCCCAGCGCTTCAGGAATGGATTTTGCAATGCTATTGTTAACTCTGCCACGGTTTCCCATTTATTCACTTGCCAAAGTGCGAGGGAGGGGGTGGTTGTTGTTGTTTTTCAGCTGCAGCCACCCAACCTAATTTGTTTTTATCTGAGATATATGTAGCCAGGGTGAGGAGATAGGAACCATGGAGCTGGGGCACAGAGCTGACACGTGTTACCTGTCTGCCAGGGCTCAGCCCAGTGCAGGTAACGCTGACCTGTGGGTCTGAAGGGGCAGGAGGTCAGTGGAATCACTCTGAGCAAAAGGCAAACTTTCCCCATGGAATGCTCTCCCATCCCAGCAATACCCCAGGGAAAAGGGCAGAGCTTTGTTCCTCTCAGGCCAAGCCTCACTTTGTCTTTTTGCCTTTTGCAGGGAGACGCTGGGATTCAGGGATACCCTGGCAGAAAGGTAAGGGAGGGGAGCTCCGGTGTTGTTAAATGAATTAACTGCACTGATGCTTTGTGGAATCATGGCTGAAAATCTGTGGACTGTGCTGGAGCCTCCTGTGGAGCTCTGCTCCTGCTGGGTCTGCAGCAGGCCCACAAATTCCCTGCTGTCACCTGTGTAAAGAGATCCTGGGCCCAGAGTTATCTTTAACTCTGCAGCAGCTACCGAACAAATGTCTCCCTGCATGTGTGTGCCTCTCCACACCCACTTCCAGGCTGAAATGCATTTCTTGTGCACCCAGACCCATATGGGAGGCTTGAAAGAGCCAAATCCCTGGCTACTGCTCTCTGGGATACAAGAAAGAGTCAATCCTGCTCTGGGTTAAAAGGCAGAAACCGGCAGTGCCCGAATGCCTTCAGCAGCAGCTGATTAACAGCAGGGTTGTCAAGCCCTGAGGGTGTAATGAAGAGACAGAAAGAGAGACAGGGGAAAGACACAAAGGAAGATCAAACAGGAGAGAGAGAATGAAGAGATACTGCTAAAGAGATGTCAGCTGGAGAAGGGGAAGGTGAATGTTCCCAGCAGGAAGGAATCCTGTGTCCCCTGTTATCTCCAGGTTGCTTTATGGGTGCTCTGCAAGCAAAATGGCAAGACCTGAGAGCTTTTTAATTAGCTCTGTATAAACTGAGAAGTTTTTGTTATGTCAGGAAGTGGAAATTATAGCCCCTGCAGACCACAGCCCACTCTTGCAGACAGACACAATTTATTGCCCCTTCTCCCGGTGAGCCGTCGGATTTTCCATTAGGAGCCCATCCTGTTCTGTGTGCACGGGGCGGGCGGCTCTCGCAGCGACCTCACAGCGAGGGCCTCTCCTACCAGCTCCTCTTACATGAAACAACTTGTCTGGCTAATTCACTTCCCAGGAAAAAGCCCACACTGGTCTTGGAAGGATGAGCCCAAGGCTGTGACCTTTCTCTGGGAAAGCTAGAAGGAATGGATGAATGTAGGGGACCAAATCCTAATGGGAAGGGAAGGCTGAATGTTGGGGAAAGCTGTTAACTCAGATGTGATGTAGGATATGGGACCGCTCCCTTCACACATTTCATACACTGAATATCTCTCTTGATGCAGAGTGGTGCTCCTCTCCCACACCCCCAGGGGCAGGGTGGTGTGTGTGGGACATCCCTTTCACACCTCTGCCAACCTTTCTGGCAGCCCACAGCTCCTTTTCTTCCTGCTGCGTTTGCTTCTTCCGCTGCTCTCTTTCTTCTCTTCCTCAGGGTGAGGTGGGCGAGTCAGGCCTGCCCGGTGCCCGCGGCCTCCCTGGAGCCCCAGGCCCCAAGGTAACCCTTAAACTCGAGCCAGTGGGGGCACCTCTCAGGGGCAGATATGTGGCACAAGCCTGTCCTAAAGGCCAGGGGTTGGAGACAGTTCTCTAGAGCCTGGAATGCACCATGTAGACAGGAACACTGGCTCCTGTGAGAAGGATCTGGGCAATTGTTGGCCAAGGTGATTCCGTGCTGTCCTGAACACAGTCCCCCATTAAGGAATAAAACCAACCCAGCCTGTAGAGGCTTTTGGACCAGAGCTGTGAAAATGAGGGTACTCTGGACCATGAAATGTTTTATTGGTTTCTATACCCTTATCATGTAGAAAAGCATTGGTATGGGCAAGGTCCAGCATCCACTCTGAGGACTAAACTGCCTTTGCACTCCCTGCGAGGGGAGGGCTGCAGCCAGTCCTTGACTGGTACCACGTGAGAAGAACCTGAGTGCTGGGGTTGCTTTTGTCACACCCCTCTTTTTGCTGCTTTCTCTTTGTCTCTTGTTACGATTGAACTGCTTGCTTGGTTTCCCCTTATGTTCACTGTCCCTCTCTGTTTCCCCCCTTTCTCTCTCCTTTGCTGGGCAGGGTGAAAAAGGGGATGCTGGCATAAAGGTAGGCTTGACAAATACGTTTTTTTCTAATGCACGGTAGATCACCTGGGAGATGCTGCTCCTTGGGCTGATGGATTGTAAGGGGAAGTTGGGTCCAAGGCAGCTCTGTGGGGTATTTGATGGAGTACACATCTGTGCTCTGATTAACCACAGACAGGCACTCCGAGCTCGGGCAATAAACGCAGCCTTTATCCGTTCCGTGGAATTCGATTCTTACCAAAGGCATTTCTCTGACTATGAGGCTTGCTGGTGATTTGTTACATCTCCCTATTTGATGGGCTAAGTTGGGGTTTCCTCATAAAATCTGGTTAGCTGACGCATCAAATCCACTCAAACTCCGCGATTCAGGCTGAGGTTTGGCACCAGCTTTTCTGTCTGTTTCTGGACACTTTTTACAGGCTCATATGGTCTCTGCCCAGATGTTATCTATTTGACTGAAATTTACTGGACCCATATATTTAAAGTATATTACTCAATGCAGACTGTGCTTAAAACATTACAACGTTGGCAAGTGTTCATGGCAGTCAGAGCACTGACTGTGTCATGCCATACATCTTAGACACCGTGAGGAAAGACTGGTCCTGTAATATTTGGAAAGGCATTAACAGTGACACGTACATCTCAAGTATTTAGTGTGTGGCATGCAGCTCATTTATCTTGCAGCACATACACTTTCTGTATCTTTTCCATCTGGGTTTGAAACTGTTTGAAAAGAGAAAAGGCCCCTTCGGAGCTCACCAAGGATGCGTTACTTGGAGTTTAAAGAAATGTTCTTTGGGAATGCAGGCTCTGGGTTCATAGCTGGACAGAGCAGCAGTGATTGTCTTCCTACAAGAAAACAACACCTCAGAAATACAAGAGTGCAGGTAGAGCCCAGAGGTTCCCTGTGTCCATCTCCTCATCAGTGTAATTCTATCAAGCACGAAGGTATTGCTCCTGTTTGCTGCGGTGTGAACGAAGGTGGAATTGCACCCAGAACTGACAGGTTTTGAGGGCTTGGAGTTTGCTGCTCTCTCCACAGCAGGTCTCCTCCCATTAAGCTGAACTGGAAGACTGAAGTCAGAGTGTGGCCTGGGAGGGAGAAAAGGCTGAAAGGAGAAGCTGTGTTTTGTCCTTGTTTAAAGTCCCACGTTTCACCTGCTTCGCTCATGCCTGTGTACAAGGACTAGCCAGCTCTTCACGTGGGTTCTGGCAAAGGGGGAAGTCTCCAGGTATTGCAGGCATGTCTCAGGGTCATCCAGAGGGTGAGAACCTCCCCTGACTTGGGGTCACCCTGGAGACACAGTCTTGCTACTTAGCCCTTTATTTATCCCTTGTTCACCCTACTTAGGAAGAGCAGAGATGAAACCCACCGCACTTATTTGCTCCAAAGGGGCAAAAATCCCCAGCCACGAAGCAGCAGCTTCTTTCACATACAGGCTATAGTTTGTTACTGTCAAGGTCACTTTTTTCTTGACCTCCTTTCTTTTTGCTCAGAGGAGCTGAAAGGGAAGTGCAGGCACATTCTTAAATCAGCAGCCAGACCTCACCCAGTAGCAGCTCCTGAGCATCCAACAGCATGTGCATTTGTTGTCTTTGGAAATTGCTTCTTTCTGTTGTCCTCCCACCTAGGAGCATTGATTGGAATTCTGGAAGACTTTTAAATCTTCCAACTTTGAATCCGATTGCCTAGACTAGATTGTACCTTCTCTTTGCCTTGGGGAGCCCTGGACAAACACTATAATTCATAGGTTAGCTGCAGTGGCCAATTTTGCATGGAATATCACTGCTTTGGCTGGCAGTGAAGAGCATCTCTGTCCCAAAGAGGGTTCCTAGTATCACACAAACCCCTTGCTCATTTAATCATCTCTCCCCACCCAGTGGCAGGTGCAGCACAACCTAAATGGTCTCTCAGCTGGTTTTTTTTTTTATTTTCTGTGGCCACCATTTGTACTTTGATCATGTAAGGACCTTAATCTGTGTCTCATGAAAGTCATTAGGCAGTGACTGTGGTCACCTGGGCCACTTGAAAGACTGGGTTTGACTCAGTGCCCCCAGCCTGTCACATTCGGCTTCACTGTTTTTTTTTTTTCCTGAAAGATCCCTAGGATAAGGCTTTTTCTCATGCTCTGAGGAAGGAGCCGTAAAGTGCCCACAACCTTTCTCAATAACCCCCTGATAATTTGCCTCTCACAGCAAACAGCAGAAAGGAAGGGTGTCTGCTTTAATTGGCAGCTGATGAGCTGATCAGCGTGAGGCATCATTGGCACCCAGCGGGGATGGAGCTGCTCACACCGGGTAGAGGAGAGGTGTAGCCTAACTCTTCCAGAGGCAAGCGGGAGAGGCTTCCTAAATCAACATGAAGCTTAGGAGAGCTGGGAGATGCTCCTGGCTGCCTTCCTGAAGCCCCCTGGGATGTTTTGCTGGGTGTTTTGCCTTTTGTACCCAGCTCCTGCCTTGGCTGCAGCGTTTTAGTGCCGCTTTTGGTGGGCGGCTGCCGCTGCCTTGGCTACGGCACCGTGCAGCTCCGAGGGCACCGGGGGGTCACAAAGGGAGCGGCCCAGCGGGTCCTCGCTGTGCCACAATGCCTTTCAAACACTTAAGGGTTTAAAGATGTTCTGGAGAGTTGTCTTTCTGCCTTTCTTTCTCTTCTTCAGTGGCGCAGTGTCACGTTTGGTGCTGCCCTCTGTGATTAGCCCGAGTGTGATCCCGGCGGTGCCGGGGGCTGTGCCGGAGTCACCGGGAGCGCAGCGGAGGGAGGCGGCTCGGAGATGTCCCTGGGGGGGTCACCGTGCTCCCTCTCACCGAGGGGGGCTTTGCTTTTGCAGGGTGAAATAATTAGGCAGCTCTGCAGGCGGGTAGTTTTGCCAGGAAAGTCTCTGGGAAGGGGAATTACTGTCACAGGCTGGGCTGCCCTATGGGGATGGTCTCTGCGAGCAGGGTGGGTGTCTCCCAGCAGAAAGCAGCAGTCTTCCCTGCTGGGTCTCACTTAAAAAAGACAGGGAAGGAGACAGAGACAGATCCACCTTCTCCAGTACAAAGTATTCCTAATTATTGCTTTACTTTTCTTACTGCTGAAAATAGGGTAGTTAAGTAGGCTGTGTAGGGCAGGAGGTGCCTGCACTAGGTTATGTATGTTATGATATTAGAAGGTATTTTACAAAATACAGTTCACAGGGTGCTGTAATTACGAAAAGTTCTTTTTAAAAAAAAGCATAGACATATATCCCTGCTAAATAGCCCTTCCAAGCGAGGATTAAACACCCACAGCACAATGACAGCGGCAGTACACAGATTGCCTGAAGATGTTTTATTTTCCAGTTATCAGCAGACAAAATTCAGGCTAGCAGCACAAGGCAAACCTTGGATTCTCCGTCTCTCCAGATAGGTTTGTTCATCCCAGAGCTGCTGCAGGCCGAGTGCCTCCCTGTGCCCTACAGCATGCTGTGACATGGCATGTGGCACTCCAGTGGGGTCAGTGCTGCTGTGAGGCTTGAGAGGCCCCACTGATGGGAAATGGCCCAGCGAGGGCAGTCAGCTTGATGATCACTGGGTGGGGAAATGGTGCCTCACCTCGCTCAGGAGGCTTTCTCATCACCTGTGCCCTGGGCTCTCCTCACGGAGCCCTGGGAGGACTCATCTCCTGTCTCTTGCTGTCTTTCTCTGTGTGTCTTGCTCTGCTTCCAGGGGGAGAGAGGCATGCCAGGGCTGCCAGGAAGACATGGCTCTAAGGTACCTTGTAACCAGAGGAGTGACGCTTGTCTGCCCCGTCCCACCCTTAGCGCTCGGCTGCCCCTGATGCACAGGCATTTGTGTGTGTGTGTCTGTGAGCCAGTGACTGTCCTCAGCTGAATTATTTATGCTTCTCAATTGCAAAATACAGGGCCTCATTTTCGAAGGCAGTGGTGGGGGAAGAAGTGTTTTACAGAGCAAATGGCATGCCCGGTCTGGTGCTGGCTTGCAACATCAGGATCTTAATGCTTTACGCCAGTGAGAGCAGCCAGTTGCTGATGTTTGCAGGGAATTGGGGTTTGGTGAATTGGGTTCCCAGGTGACCACTGCAGATGTGTGTTAGCCCAGCTGGGATAAGCAGGGCTGCCCAAGTGGGAACCTGGACTAATGCAGCGTTGAATCAGGGTCAGTGTGTGAGCAGCCCTGCATGTCTGTGGATTGCAGTTCAAGGGTAAATACCAGAAAATAACATGATCTGCGTTCGCTGCTGTTTGAAGGCTGAAAAATGAGGAACAGGCATCCCAAGGCTCTGTGAAGGCCTAACCAAAGCCACTTACTGCACGTTATCCCTTTCATGACTCTAGCTCCTATTTTCTGAATTCTACTGACCCCGAGACAGTCTGGAATGCTTTTTTCCCCCCATTTATTGCATAGAATCCCTGATCTCCATCTTCTGTCCTTGTGTTTTTTAGCTTTTGTCCCCGATTTCTGTTTCAGAAAGCTGAGAGGTATGATCCTGCTGCTCTCTGGCTCCCCACTCCTCCTTGTTTGAACTTTTCCAAGCTTTTTTCACTTTGAACTTGGCTCCCAGTCCTCCTCACTGCCTCACGTGCTACATCCCAACCCTTCACATTTCCCAGCTTTTAACACCACTTCACTCCCTCCCCTCTCCTTAGCTATCCCTCATATTTGCTTTTTTAACTGGACCTTATGTAACCAGGGCCTAACTATTGCTAACACAGGGGATACAGAGATTTCAGAGCGGATGTTTGACAGGGACAACCTGCTGTTTGCATCAGCGCTGTCGAGGGAAATGTGGCAGTCCCTGTGGGAGCAGCTGCCTCGGATGGCAGGGCAGCACTCCATGGTCCCGTGGCCATGGCTTGCCCTGTACTGCAGAGTGACACCTGAATTGTGGTGCTTGGAAGTCTGGTTTTTCCCCTAAGGTGGCTTCAGAGCTCTCCTGGAGACACTTTACTGCAGGGTTTGTCTGCTGTGATAAAAACAGACTGGGAGGGAATAGCAAGGCCGAGGCTCTGGGGTATGAGCTGACCTTTCTCAGGACGCTCCTGCTGAGGTATCTGGGCTCAAGCCTTGGAGTGGGGGTTTGGTCCTTGGTCTGTCTTTGCATTCCTCAGTTATTTGACACTGTTCTGCTTGTTGGCCTTTGCTTCACTTGCAGGACTAAAACCGGGGTGGGTGGGGGTGGAAATCCATTTGTCTTGACTGGGTTGTGCTCACGGTGCCTGCCTTTGGAAGAGCTTTCTGGAACCCAGAGCCACTGCCATAGGTGAGCAGCTGCTCAGGGAATGAGGATGTGTGCTGTTACAGCATTACTTCTGAGTTGTGGAAAGGAAAAGATGTGGATTTTTTGCGTTTTAAGTTTCACCTGAGCGATGCTGTTTCGTTTTAAAACAAATGTGTGTTGGATTAATTTCAAACGAGGTGTTGCTGTCTTTCCTCTCTCTTCCAGGGCGCTCCTGGGATGGCTGCCGCAGGGATGAAGGTCAGTTTTGCACTGCAATGCCTCGAGTTGGGCACGGGCTGGAGCTGGGAGAGCTCAAGGCGCTAGAAAATGGTCGGACAGCTCCCACTGATGGGGAATATCAGAACTGCCGTGCCTTCGGCAGAGGTACCAGACCTGTCTCCAGCCTCACCCCTGCTGCTCCCCGGCAGCGAGTCTGGTGAACTCCCATCAGCACAGCTGCACCCGCAGCCTTGCTCCCCTCCTGTAAAAACAGAGCAAGGAGTGGCAAATTCCTTTGTGCCAGCGCATGAATCTTGTCTTGCTCTGCTCTTTTGTACATCTGCAAGTACTGCAAGGTGGTTACTCTGTTCTGTGGAAGCCGTGAGTGACCCTGAGGTTTGGTGGTTTCTTAGACAGCAGCCTGGGAGCTGGCTAGTGGAGATAAAAGAAGTTCCAGACACAAAAATATGCAACAGAAGCACTCTTGTGCCCTTAATCAGCAGCTCAAAGCCCCCATAGATGAATGTTCTTTTCCCCACTCTGATAGCTCTAGGAGGATTTGTACTCTCCTCTGGTTTGTCACTCACTGTTTTCCTGTCTCTTTCTCACCAGGGCGAGCCTGGGACTCCAGGAGAAAAGGTATTCTCAGAAGGTTTTGCTCTGAGCTTGCACTTCTGGTTGGTTTGTGTATTCTTCCCCTCCCTGAGCAGCTGAGGGATGTCTGTGTACTTCCCAGTGCCCAAATCCAGGCCCTGATGGCCACAATAAGCCGAATGGCAGTAGGATACAGTGATTACCAAGTGAGAGAGGGACCATACCGCAGATATTTCCATCCTCCTGCTCATGCTGGTGTCACTGGGAATACCTTCCAGCTGCCTTCCTCCTTCCCTCCCTACTCCCCAAGAGACGCAGGGCACACTTGGCTTAGGAAGCAGGTCCCCTCTGCTCCTTCCCTTCTGCCTCCCAGTATTTGTGTGCCCCAGAAGAGTCCCTGCAGAGGAGCATTCCCATCTGAGTGTGAGTTCCCGAGGCAGGCACGGTGTGCTGCTGCCCCATCCCTCTCCATCCCGGAGCAGCCGGCTTGCTTTGGGAGCAGCTGGCTCCTCTTGTTTGAGGCTCGCTGGGTTATGTTACAGCATGTGACAGCCGTATAACAGACACGTTCTCTGTCTCTTTTCTTCCCCACCAAGGGAGATTCTGGAGTCCCAGGGAGGATGGGCCCCCCAGGTTTGCCAGGGAAGAGGGGGCAGCGGGTAGGACATTGCGTGTTTGGGCTGGGTGTCCTGGCAGCGCCGTGTTCCTGCGAGCGGGAGCTGCCGGGGGCCTGCCGTGTGCTGCTTGCGGGGGATTATGTGTCCTTTGCTGGCTCCTGCCCCCTTGGTGAAGTGTGTTTGCGTGTTCCCGCTTGCAGGAGGTGGGGGCTGCTGGCAGGCAGGGCAGCATGAGATGCCTGGGATGTAGTCTTGTCCCGGGAACGATTAAGGACAGTGCCGCATCTCTTGACTCCAGAAATAACACCCTAAACAGGGATTCAGTAATCTGACCTCCTTCCTCAAGAAATCCACTGCTTTGCACCCTAGTTCTGGCAGCACGGGATGTTTTCAGTAGCTCTTATGGACAAGTGTATTCAAAACTGAATGAAAAGTGGGATACCAAGATGGAATTGGGGATTCACAGAGCCCTGGGACAGGATTGGGAATCATATATTTACAAAAACCTCCAATGCCAAACCTCTTCCTTGGGTATGAGGTCCTGAAAATGTTTTCCCTCTTTCCAAGGAGAGAAGCATTAATTTAGCAATGTGCATACTCTGAGGGGGAAAGAAAGCTGGGGGAGGGTTACAGGTGGCTAGAAGCCAAATTACCTTGGAGGAAGGGGTCACTGCACTCTAGAATTGCCTGACAAAAAGATTGCTGCTGGTAGATTATTTTCCAGGGAGCCACCAGTGCATGTCTGTCCCTGGAGCATTGATGCAAGCCCCCTGCATGTCAGATGTGTGCCCTTGAGCTCTGATGAGCAGCAGCAGCCTCTGCAGGCCAGCAGCATGGCTCCAGGAGGGAGCTGAGCACCTGTGGGGGGAAAGAGGGTTTGAGTTCTTCTGTATAATCTGTACAAGTTGCTGAGTCTTGGAGCTGTGGGGATGGCAGCTAAAAACACACCTTTCTCTGGTGATGCATTTGAAACCTCTCTTCAGGGTAACAGACACTTCAGTATATCTCTGTGTCCTGGCAAAATGCAGATTTCCAAACAGGACACTGTACCTGGCAACCATGGGTTTAGCAGCTGGATGGAATGGTCTGAAGACAACTTAACTTCAACATAAAGACCAGTAATTGAACTCCAATATTTAAAATACAGCCCAGGTGTCATGGTGAACTGAGCAAAGCCACTTCACCAAGGGAATGCTGGATGCTCTCAATTGCTCACTGCCTGTGGCATCCTCCATGCTCCATGGTGCCTCACACAGCTCAGCCTGCAGCTCTCCAGGCATCATCTTACACCATCAGCTGCTGTCTTTGCCACTTTTGCCACTCCTGCCTTCACTACTTACATGGCCAGTGCGTGTCCCAGAGCTTGGCTGCCAGCTGAGGCGCTGCACTGCTTGGGTTTTTTTTTGAGAGCATGATGAGTCTGGGATTTGGAGCTAGGGAAGAGGAGCAGGGCATGGAGAAAGTCCTGCATTCCAACTAAAATTCACCCTGGGTGACAGCTTCTGTGGGCATGTGGGATCAGGGAAAGCCTGTGCAGAAGAAGTGACAGGGAAAAGTGTTTAGCAGACCAGAGATACAAGGAAGATGCAAGGGGGGACCCTGGATCCCCTTCCCACTCACCTTGCTTTGGAGAGAAATAGCAATGATGTGCAGAGAGAGTCAAAAAGTTGGGCAAAAACATGTAATGTCTTGAGCTGGTACTGCTCAAGGAGGATGCCTTGTCTGTGCCCAAAATAAAATCCCTAGGGGTGGGAAAGGGGGTGTGAAACCAGGAGCAGCTCACCCTTTTGCTGCTCCTCCAGGATGGAGAGCCTGCAGAGTCAGTTTTGACCATGTCTGTTTTGCCAACAGGGTGAGAAGGGACGAGCTGGTGACCCTGGGCTTCCTGGACTCCCTGGCCCAAAGGTTTGTCTCTTTCCTGACTTTGGTTTTTTTTGGGGGGGTGCTGCTGTCACCCCTTTTCCTCCCTCCCTCCTGTGCACAGCTCACACATTGTTAGCTGACTGTGGCAGCATGTTCTGCACTGCTGAGTTGTTCTGCACTGCTGTCATCTTCAGACAGGGATGTGAGGGAGGGACACAAGAGATGCCTTTTTGTAGGACTTGCATGCCCTCATGCAGTGAGGGGGAGGTTGTGGTCCTGGGAGCAGGACCATGGAATCGTGTTCCAATAGTTCCCCTTTAAAAGCATGACCTCAGATGTAACACAGTATTTCAGCCTCCCTCCTGCTCCAAGATCCATGGGTGATGAGGAGATGGGCTTTTGGGGAGCTGCAGTGCTGTGCTCTGGGTTGGAGGAGTGCTCAGAGACAACCAGAGCAGGTCAGATAAAGCTAAGCCCTGAAATTGGCTTTTCCCCTGTGCTCTGAGATTTTCAGATAGAAATCACACCTTTCAATCCAGACTTTCACAGGATGTTTTTTCTTTGGGAAAGGGGACAGTGCAGTGAATGCCAGTGGCTGTTTCAGGAAGGGATGAGGGTGTAATAGCAAAGCTTTCCTGTTACTGCCTCCTACCTGCCCTGTGCAAAGGACATGGTGTGCAGGGCTGAGTGGCTGGTGGCTACAGCTCCAGAGGGAGGCATTCCAAAAGAAGCCATCATCAGGTGGTTTAATCAGCTCAGTTTCAACAGCAGAAGAGCACAGTGTTCCAAGGGAGGCTGGGGATGAGGGCTGTCCATGTTGTGTTGTCCTGTGCAGCTGAAGGGATGAGCTGTGGCTGCTGGCAGGGTTCCACGAGGATCCTCAGGCAGGCCCATGCTGTCCTGGTGTCTCTCTGGGCTATCAAGAGTCCAGCTGATGGACCTTGTCTTGGCTGTGTCTCTCTAAGCCAGTATTTTGGCAAGTGAAATTACAGAGGGCCAGAGTCTGAACTGAGACATGTGGCTTGTTCTTTGCCAACAGGGAGAGAAGGGAATTGCTGAGAATGCTTTGGTGGGAGCTAAAGGAGAACCTGGCCCTCCAGGTCTGCCTGGACCCCCTGGACCAAAGGTGAGTGATTTTTCCTTCATGGGGTTGTGTGTTGTGAGGAACTGCACCCAGCACAAGGTGTGTAGGAAAGAGCAAAGGTTGTATTCATCTGTGCCCACCTCTGATTACCTGCTGGAGGGCTATCAGGTTCTACAGAGCGTTTTAGTACTGTTGTTCTATATGCTGCAGATGAGAGAGTTTGTGAACTGTTTTTGGAAGGAAAATACCCTTCTTGTGCTCAAATAACTGCCCTGTGAGAGTAACTCTGTGAGAAACCAGTCTTAACACTCCCTCTGCACTGGGTGGAACAGAAGAGAGCGTGGTGGACAGTTGTGGCAGGAGATTTGGGCTACCTGAGGAGAAGGGGCACAGGAGGGGTGCTTGGCTGGTGCAGTTCTGCAGTTCTTCCTCCTGGAAATGCAAAGCCAGCAGGGAAGTTGCACCCTCTCAACACAATACAAACCCATCCCCTTCCCTTTCTCTTCCTGTCAGGGAGAAGCTGGTGATGTTGGTCAGCCTGGTGCTGCAGGATCACAGGGAGAAAAGGTACGGAGGGCTCGGAGTTCTGAGCTCTGGGTTCTGAGGTTCAGGAGCTGCAGATTGGTTCCTGTGTGTACAAAGCTTAGCTGAAAATGAGAATTCTAAATCAAGCTGTCTAGCCCAGACTGTTTCAGAGCACCAGCAGAGCACGATTCCTGGAGTTCCAAGAAAGTGAAGGGACAGACTTTGCTAAAACTGTGATCTTCTTGTTTCAGGGGGAACGTGGTTCACCGGGAGACCAGGGACCCATGGGCCCAAGGGTAGGTGTTCCTTCACTAACCAAGAGTTTTGGCCCTTCACAGGGATAGTGGGACCACACTGACAGTCCAGATTGGGTCTTGCTGTCACTAAAAGTACTCATAGAGGGACAGTGGCTAAGTTTGAGATGGGCTGTTTCTCCACTCCTTAGCCTCACCCCTACATTAGAGGAAAAACTTCTCCCAGGCCATCTCAGGGTGGCTCATTCGTAGGAGGAGATGTTTGGACATGCCAGTCTGGACTCAGGCCCTTGAGCTACCAGAAAAAGGCGACAAGAGAGTGGGTGCATGCCCACATCCAACAACTGGTCAAACAATCCAGCTCCTGGATTCTGGCCTCAGCTTCATCTCTTCCCAGACAGCCAGCTTCCATGGTCATGACATGGTGATCTGAGCTGGGCTGGCTGCAGTGCTGTAGAATCTCCTGCACTTCAGAGGCTTTCTTTATTAAATGAAAAACTGGACACTCATGAATTGGGCCCCTCTGAGCCCAGAGTGAACCACAGCTCTGAGCACCCCGAGGGAAGGGCAATCCCAGCCCCTGGCTGAAGACCTGGTATTTTGCAGGGCCCCAAAGGAGAGCCTGGGAAGGATGAAATGATGGACTATGATGGGAACATCAGCGAAGCTCTCCAGGTGAGCAGCTGCCCTCCTGTCCTGTGAGGTGACTGCTGGATGCTTTACTATTTCTCACAGACAGGGAACAGTGTAGATCTGCTCCCTTGGCAGTAGCAGCAAAGGGAAGCTCTTGGTTGTGCCATAGTCCCCTTCATCCCACACATCACTGCATGCAGTGTTTTTGTAAACTCCTTACTCATTTGGGTCGGTGTTACAGTAGTGGAGAACAAGCCAGCTCCAGGATAAAGCTTAGTTTTCCAATGACTGTTTACTTTTCTAATTTTATTTTTTTCACTTTTTTTTTTTCCCTAGGAAATAAGAACTTTGGCCTTGATGGTGAGTTCCTGTCTATGCTGTGGGGTTTTCCACAAGTAGCTGTATGTCTGTCCTAAGCAGATGGGCTGACAATTTAGGTGCAGCTAAAGCACTTGGCCTTTGCCATTGGGAGCTAAAGCTGGGGCAGCTGACAGCTGAAAGAAAAGCTCATCTTGCCTTCTGATCTTGGCACTTGAATTCTAATCAGGACTTTCATCCCTCTGCTTTAAGAGGTCATGCATGCTGCTCAGAACAGGGGGTGCTCAGAAGGAGCAGGGAAGAGCAGCTCTCAGGGCTCTCTATTGCTCATCTTCCCAAGAAAATATGATTTTGGGGATCCCTTGGAATAGTCCTGTGTGATTTCCCCTTAAACTTAGGAGAGGTATTTGGTTTCAAAACACAAAAATACAAACCCTGTTGACAATATGAAAATATTTTTTCTCTTGATCTAGGGACCCCCAGGACGTCCAGGTGTGGCTGGACCTCCAGGGCCACCAGGACAGAAGGTATTGTCTCCATTCAGCACTCACAGACCTCGGGGAAACACAGGACTGGCCCAGGCAGAATTCCCACCCACAACTCTTCCCAGTGCTCCTATATTTCCTGTCCAGCCCTATCAGATTCTCCTGCTGTCCTCTGCAGCTCCTCCTCACACAAAATATCCTGGAAAATCTCTTTTCCCACAATGATAATGCCTAATCTGAAAGATGAAGGATCTTTTCTACTCATCCTTCCCTTCAGGAAGTGGCTTGTGGGAACCAAACTGTGGGACTGTGTTGGTTGGGGACTGCATGACTGCACTGGGGCTGTGAGGTGGCAATCAGGATCAGCAAGACTGGGAAAATTCTCAGTCACATAATGTAATGTTTCAACAGGGGTTTTCCTGGGGTTTTTTTGTGGGTTTTTTGTTTGCTTGTTTGGGTTTTTTTGTTCTTTTTAATTTTATGACTGCAGAAAAACCCAGGGCTTTCCATCCTTTATTTTTAGTGATTACAGGAAAAATCCTGGATTTTTCATGCTTTTTTTTTTTTTCCCCTGTGAGTAGTGTGTGCAGACTATTGCTGCACTGCCTGCCCTTCTTCATCACAGTGCCCCAAAGAAGGAGTCAAAATAGCTGCTTTCAAACTGCCAAAGTAACAATTCTGTGTTTCAGGGTGAGATTGGCTTGCCAGGTCCTCCAGGCCACGATGGAGAAAAGGTGAGGCACGATGCTCTTCCCTTCAGAGGTCTTACCTGGAGTCATCTCTGAGTCACTGACTTCACACAGTTGCTTTTCCCACGAGGGAAAAAAGCATTTTGCCTCACAAAAAGGAGCATTAATAGTTTGTCAATGTCCTAACATTTGTCATGGCTACTTTGTCCTGTCTCCAAAGGGGATGGCTGTGAGGGAAGGGATGAGCAGGACAAGAGGATCTGGGCCAGGCAGGAATAGCCTTACTCTCTCTGTGAATGTCTCTCTTCACATTGTGTGATTTTCATTTAGGGACCACGTGGCAAGCCTGGAGAAATGGGCCCCCCTGGCCCTCATGGGCTGCCAGGAAAGGATGGACCTCCTGGAATAAAGGGAGAGCCAGGCAACATCGGGGTCAGAGGAGAAAAGGGCGATAAGGGAGAGCCAGGACAAGCAGGCTCACCGGTGAGTAAATCAAAGCCTCTCTGAGCACTGGGGCGAGGCCTCAGCACTCCTTGGATGCCTCAGAGGCCCTGCAAGGTGGGTGCTGCTGTGTGAAGTGTCACAGTACAGGAGATCCTGGCACGTGTGTTGTCCTCTTGCTGGAGTGGCTGTCCCCAGGTGCCTGCCCTGTTCCCTGGGCACCGTGTCCCTTCCTCAGCTTGCTGCCTGGTGTCTTGCTGGCACTGAAACGCTGCTGGAAGCGAGCAGGTCTGACTGTGAGCCAGGAGGCTGAGGCAGCAGCACACCCACCCCCTCCTGGGATAACATGGGGTAACCCCTCACAAGCCAGCCACTAACTGGGGCAGAGTGCCCAGCCTCCCAGCTTCAGTCTGTCACAGCTTCTGTGCCCCCAGCACTGCACAGGGGGGTTTATGCAGCGACTTCTATGGGATTACCAGGATGAAACTCCTGCTGTCTCAACAGCTGGCTGTGGGGCGTGATTGCCTAGTGTGGCAAACTGCATAATCCTGAGCAGGACTTGGAGGCAGGAAAGCAGTACCTTGTCCCCACTCTGGGGACTGGTCCATCCACAGTGACAGGAGGATGTTCACCCATTTGCCCCTCCACTTTCAATGCTAGTGAAGCCCTGCATTTCCCTGGATAACTGGTGGATTTCCAAGGTTTTCAGAGTACTCTTGAGATGACCAGAGCCAGTCTTGGCTCTTGCACTGATATCTTACATGTCTGCCTGACTTAGTCATGCAAAACTCCACAAATCTTTCTTGATCTATAGGGTCTAGATGGCCCCACTGGAGAGAAGGGCGAACGAGGTGACCAAGGGATACCAGGACCATCAGGATTGCCAGGGCCCATTGGACTTCCAGGACTGACAGTAAGAATGGAAAAGACAAGGCTGCTCTTTCCTGCTTGGTAAAGAGAAAATAGCATAGAGCAGCACACGGGGGCTCATTTCCCAAAGTGCTGTGTGTCCTGGGAGCCTCAGAGCCCTGCCCCTTTGCTAGGTGTCACAGAATGTCTGTCAGGCCTCCAGCAGCAGACTGGGAATGTGAAACACATGCTCTGTTCCCACTTCTCCCGGGGGAGCTGCTGCCTGCCAGCACGTGGGTGGTTCCCAGGCAGCTTCGATGGAGGGGCACTCCGGAGCGCAGCCGGTGGTGACGGGGTCTGCTGTTGTGTGCAGGGAGAGAAGGGTGAGCCTGGGGAGCGTGGAGACAAAGGAAATCCAGGAGAATCGGTAGGTTACTGTTCCTGTGTTCCTCCATCATCTCAGCAATAGGGGAGGGATGATTTGGCAGCAGTGCTGCTGGAAAGTGGCACACCCACACTCTGGTGGCACCCCTTCGCTGAGGACAGCAAACCTTGTGCTGTGGGGCTGCGTCAGCAGCCACCTCTGGCTCCTGATGCCCTCCTTTCCCTGACACAAGAACAGTCTCACATCTACAAGGAATGCCTAGGGAAGAACAGATCATGGAAAGCATAGCAAATACTTTCCTCAGCATTTGCAGGAAATGGATTTCCTGGCAATTATTTGCATGTGTATATATACACATGTAATTTCTTTTTTTTCCCCAAAGATTTTGGTGTTCTTGAACTTGACTGTTCTCCCCTCAAAGCTCACCCCTAGCTTTGGAGTGCCCTGTAGCAAGGAGTCCCACAGGCTATTGACACATGTGGAGCCAGGCACCTTCTTTCCTGTCTTTTACTCTTTGACCTTATACCTCCTTGTAGGAATATTGGTAGAGTAGTGGGAGTGGACCTTTCTTTGGAAAAAGCCTCGCTACTTTCCCTCCTCTTAAATATTGGCAAATTTTGTATAACCTGCCCCTGAGTCCTGCTGCTGCTTCCCAGCTGCTCAGTCCTGGATTGCTGCTGCTTCCTAATGCAGTCCTTGGGGGGAGTCCAGGTTTCCCAGCCTGGCAGAGGAGCTCTGCTGCACCCTGTGTCCTGTCTCCCCTCTGAGCAGCCTCACTTTGCCCCTGAGGGCAGCTCATTGACGGTGACTTCTCTTGCATTTCCAGATATCTGGGCCCCCTGGACCCCAAGGCCCTCCAGGACCTCCGGTAAGTTTGAGTGACTCACCTGAGGAGCAAGGCACTGGGAATGGGGTTAGAGCAGTGGCTGGGGAGGATTCTGTGTGGAGAAGACAGCCAGAACCACCGCGGTGTTGAAATGGGAACATGCTTAGTATCACTTCCAAACCCACCCCCAGGGTAGGTCAGAGCTGCAGTGGGCTGGGAGGGCAAAGAAAGAAGGTTATGTTAGTCTGAGATGAAAGGGAAGACAGTAGTGAGATGGGATGGATGGGATTAAAGGGATCAACTGCAGAAATTGTCTTAATAGCACACCTGGCCCCCTGCCAGGGTGTGCTTGGCAAGAGGCTCCTCGTTAGAGATGAGAACAGTACATCAAGTGCCCATTACACAAATAAAGAGGTCTTTGGGCTGAGGGTTCGTGCTCCAGAAAGCGACACCTTTGCCCTGCACGCCTAACTGGGATACCTGGAGCTTAAATTAAAGCCCATCCTGAAACATTACTTACATCTTGTCTCTCATCCCAAACACAGGGTCTTCAGGGCATTCCCGGACCCAAGGTAAGGGTACAGAATGTTACCTACTGAAATTGTCCCAGGTGATAGAATTGCCTGTAGTAACAACCTCCTAGCGTTCAGGTGATACTTTTCTTCCATCTTGGTAAGAGGATAAATCCTTCTGGATATTTTCTTGAAGGAAATGGATTAGCAGCTCTCATTTTAGGACCCTAAAAAATGGTCATTCCCTCCAGTTTTCACCCAGAATTCACTGGTCTGTGGAATTCTGCCCATGAGGACAGAGTTGAAATCTTTGTCTGGAGGGTGGAGGTCTGTGGGGTGAGCAGTCTGTCACACAGTCCTAAGGAACTGAGCTCTAGCTAAAAATTAGTCTTTCAATTACCGTGTACATTCTGCTGTAGAGCACTCAAGAACTTCACCATCCTTGGTGGTGAGAATCTTTCTAATCTCCATCCAAATGCCCAGCCTGCACCATTGTCTTACCTGCTCCTGCACAAAAAATAGTGGAGTGGAAATGTTCAAGGAGAGCTGCAGCTTTCTGGTGAAGTTTTGGGCAAAGATTGGAAAAGGTGCAAAGTGTCTTAATTCTTTTGATTATCCTTAGTATTTGGCCACCAGCATTGTTTGGGTGCTAGAAGGGATGGATATGTTTTAAAAAGCCTTATGGATGGAAATGAGGAGGGAAAAAATGTTCTGGGTTACATTTTGAATTTAATTAAAAGGAGTATTTTGTTTAATATTGCTTTGTAGTTTATCTTACAGAATTTTAAAAGTATGTCTGGGAAAAAAATACTGAATTTTTTTTTTCCCTGAAATGTTGGAACTGATGCCTTAGCATTTACAAAAGTCTTTCCAAACATTACTTCTGTATGATTTTTCTTCGAGGCTTGAAGACACCTGTCATTCACTTCCAGTGGATCCACATCTTAAAATGTAAACCCACCATATCAGATAACTTCTGGTTATTTATATTTATATATAAATATGTATACAGCAACAACAGCAGGGAGAGCAGCACCGGAGCGAGCTCAGTTCTCCTCTGAACATCTTTACCCACAGGACAGGACTTATTGCCACTGAGTTAAAACAGGTGCTCACACAGGGGTAATGTGAATGACAGTGATTTTCTTCAAATTAGGTTGAGAATTGGGCTAAGGCATTACTCTGCTGCCTCCTGTATTCCCTCTGCTATCCGGCGCTCTCTGAAGGGAGGAATGTTTGTTATATAAGTGCTGTTATGGTGGGTTTATTTTCTGCTCCATCCTTCCTTTAGGGGGAAGCAGGGATTGATGGAGTGAAAGGAGAGAAGGGTGCCCAGGGTGAAAAAGGAGACAGAGGGCCACTGGGATTACCCGTAAGTATCCAGGAAGCAAGCAGCACTTTGTGAGCCAAACTTAATATCAGCTGTAAAAAGATCCCTCAATAGGAGACGCACGTGGGGATTTGGTATGTAAAGTCAGAGAAAGAGATGGTCTATAAATAACCGTGCCTTTGCTTTTAAACCCAAAGCCTCAGTTTCTGTACTGAGCCTTCAACTTGTAGATCTGTTGAATAGATCAGGGATCACTTTATTTCCTCCTGCTTCTGGCAGGACTGGGAAAAACAAGCAGCAGCTTTCCTGGGGGTTCTCTGCACTTCAGGGCAAGACCAGAAACAGAAGTCAGAGATGTGGAAAGCTGTTCCCCAGCCGTTTGTCTCCTGGGCTCAGCTTTGTACAAAGCATGGTGGTTCTTAATGCAACCAGCTCCTTTGATAGCTGAACCATCCCCGTCCCTTCTGCCATGGAGTCAGTGCTCCCCCTGACCCAGCGTGTCCCTGCTGTGGGTGAACTTGGTCCCATTGGCCTGGTGTTGGAGCAGTGCTTGCCTTAGCCAGAGGAATTGGGGCACAGTGTATGGTACAGAAGAAGTTGCAGGAGCTTTCGATACAAACCTGGTGATGTGTTGGTGGTAACTTAGTCCCACTCAGTTGTTCCACCAGCCCCTGAGTTCTCTCATCATAAAAAGCACTGGTGGCACAGTAACCCTTCCCCAAATGTTCTGCCTGGAACAAACACTGCAGAGTGTATCTCATGTACTGTGTGGCTTTGTTGTCCTGTGTTCGACCACCCAGATCCCTTGTCCCTGACTTTGGCTGAAATGTGCATGTCTTTGTTCGTAAAATGTTTTACTCCTTTAGTTGTGCTGAACAGTAGTTCCCTCTTAGAGCTTGAATGAATCCCCTCTAAGTCCAGGTGCTCAAATGAGTCCAGAATGAGTACATCACATTCCCTGGGGCTCCAGGCAGAGCCAGTGGGAGAAAGGGTTGCTTTTGGAAGGCTCAAAGGCACGGGATTGTACCTCAGTGGAGCAGTGAGAAGTCAGAAGCCAGTGCCCTGAGAAATGCAAATGGAAGTTTTCTGTGTAAATGGTTATTCCCTCAAGCCTGTGGGGTATCTGCACAGGGGATGGAGGTCCTTGTGTGACCTTGTGTGAGCAGATGCTCCAGCAGTTATCCCAACAACTCATCTTTGTGGCAGGGAATGTGCTAGCTGCTTTTTCCGCAGCAGTGAGCCCCATGGGGGGTCCAAAGGTCCCTTGGCTTTTCCCATCACTCTTCCTGAGCTGTGGAGATGGGAAGACCAACTCAGAAGGGTCCTCTTTGAAATGTTTTGTTTGGATCAGCAATATTGGCTGGACAACCAGGAAGCACCAGCTTGTAAGATCAGATACTGTGGAACTTGTATCCTTCTTCAGAGCCACTGAATTCTCTTCATAAGTTTTTCCATGCCTGATCCAGTGTATCTTCAGCCTGTCAAGCTCAATGCCGTGCCAAGCAGGTTCTGAAATATTTCAGGCTGTAAAATCCTGAAGCTGGATCTGCTGCCTTTTTCTCTGGCTTAGGGCTTGACATCACACTGGAATTCCAGTCCTGATTGTCTGCAGTAGCCTTGAGCTTATCCATGGCTGACAGGGTGAGGAAATGGAGGAAAATTCAAAATAATTGGTACTTATATTCTACCACAGCTTTCCCTCCCATCCACTGTCTGAGACAAGCCAGTGGGCTCGATGGACCTTGGGCAGAGCCACTTTTAGGTCTTATGGATGAGGAAATTCAGGGCAAGAGCTGAGCAGACAGCAAAGTGCCACCCGATCTGAGTCTGGTGTAAATCTGCACTGGTGACACAGAGAGATGAGACATCTGTTTTGTAAGCTCCTGAACAACTGCATGTGGAGTGGAGCAAGCCTGCAGCTGACCTAGTGGGCACCACAAGCCCTGGGTCTCTTGGTAGCAGCTTGAACAGCTGATGGCCCTGCGCTGCCTGTAAATGCCTTGGTGAGCAGCAGCCTCGGAGCCTTGTGTCTCACCTGTGTTGCCCAGCCTGCCACAAAGGCAGTGCAGATTCCAGCTCCACTGTCACGTTGTCCTTTTCACCACCTGTCACAGAACAGCTGCTTCCCCAGGAGTTTCCCTGGTGGCACTGGGAGAGGGAAATTTGCACTCTGAAGAGGATGTGAAAGTTACAGGTCTACATTATATGTATTCAGTGTTTCTATGTTTTTGTTGGTTTGCTTGTAAGTGCCATCACCTGTCCTTGAGATCTTAATTTTTGTTAATTGCAAGCATATGTTTGTCTCGAGTCACTGCTTTACTCACCTCTCCCCTCCCCTCTCCTCTGCCTGGTTTTTGTGAACCCTTCCCGCCTGTCCAGGGTGCTTCAGGTTTAGACGGCAGGCCTGGACCACCGGTGAGTTCCATTTCTGTTACCTGACGTTTGTCCTCCCCAGTATCGTGATTCATTTTGTGTCTTCCACCCGAGTCTTGTTTACACCAGGAATAATCTTATTTTTACCAAAGCAGACTTGGGAGGGAGGTTAAACTTAAAATGAGGAGTGATGTCACACACTTGTCTTCTTTGATGCTACAAATCTGGGTCCTGGGATCGCAGCCTCCTTGCTCCACTCTGTCTCAGTAACAAGAGGAATGAAACCTCTGCATGGTTCTGTGATGCTCTGCTCTCCTGTCCTCTTTCTCCTGAGGGGTCTGCAACCTGAGATGGGAGAGAGGGACTCATGATCAGCAATTGTAGTCTCAGGGCAAAGGGGAATGGCTTAAAAATGAAAGATTGAGTAGGTTTACATTGGATATTAGGAAGAAGTTCTTTACTGTGAGGCATTGGCATAGGTTGCCCAGAGAAGCTGTGGCTGCCCCTCCTCTGGAAGTGTTCAGGGCCAGGTTGGACAAGGCTTGGAACAACCTGGGATAGTGGAAGGTGTCCCTGTTCATGGGAGGGGGTTGGAATGAGATGATCTTTAAGGGCCCTGCTGACCCCAAACCATTCTATGATTCTAAGTAATGCCAACCTGGTTCTGCAAACCACTCTGCTATTCTTGGATAACAGCTGTTAAATAACAGCCAAATATTTTTAATCCCTCATGGGAAATCACAGATCACCCATGTACAATCCATTTGGCTATTTAAAAACAAAAAGCAATTTTTCCTCCTCAGTGTAGCTGGGAATAATTTCAGCTGCTCTGACTTCTGAAGAGAATCTGAGTGGCAGCTTATACAGTCACTTGTTTGGGGGAAGCTGTAGATACAATTTAATAGATGTGCAGGGGTGATTTCAATGTATTCCATAGCACTAAATGATGGATAATTGCAGGCAGTTAAGATTTCCACAACTGCACGAATCTAAGGAGAGCCTGATTTTTTCCTCTTCCTTCACCATGCTGAAAAGTTGTGTGCTGCATGAGCTACTCCTCCACTTGTATTCTGCAGATCTTGACTTCTCTGAAAAGCTCCCCTGACCCACATGAGCCATCCTGCTCTCATCAGAGGGGTTACTTTAGTGACTAAGGATTGCAGACTGACACTAAAAAGTGCAAGACCCTTTTGTTTTAAGGCATTTAGAAAGACTTCCCATTTTGCTCCTTGGTTTTTCCTGGGAGTCAGGTAATGTCTCAAAAGTACCCCTTTACTGAGGCTCTATGAGGGAATTGTAGACCCATGTGTGGCACAAGGAGTCTGAGTTGGAGGTGCTGGGGAATCCTGTTCTTAGCCAGAGGGACTATTACTGAACCACCATGCTGCCAGCATTAAAGATCACTTTGATTAATTTCCCAGAGGCCAGGCGAGTCTCAGGAGCACCAGCAAGGAAGTTTGGTGTGCTGGTGGGAGAGGGTGACACCCTCTGTGTCAAAGGGTTAGGAAAAACACTGGGTTTTCCTGTCTGGGAGCCTGGTGGAGTGACAGGAATGGCAAAGAGGGAGCAGAGGGACTGGAGGATACCCCTCCCAGCTCACATCTGTGCCTGCACACACCTGCATTCAGCACTGCAGCTTGGGGTCTGTCAGCTTGCATGAAACACTGACCCAGCGCTTCGCATCTCGCTCAGCTACGCCGACTCCGGGAGGGGGTAAAGGAAATAAGGACATAAGCAAAAAGAAAAGTGAACTGCTTATCACGTGTGTAAATGGCCTTTATTCTGCTACAGCTTTCAGCCTTGTGTGGTACAAACCAGCAAGAAGGAATTGCTGTTTGTGGAGCTGGTAGAAATGCCTGCTGAAATAATTGTCAAGAGAGAGCTTCAGGATTAAAAACAAGGCTCTGTACAGTGGTGCTGGTGTGATCTAACACAGCAGTTCCCATGTTCTTCAAATTGCCTTACCAACTACTTCAAATCCATCTCCACCAGCACTGAAAGCTGTAGTGGTGCTAAGTGCCTTCCACCACCAGCCTGTCCTCCCAAGCTGTGCTTTTCCTAAGGGAGCAGCAGTGTCTCCTGGCTTTAAGGAAGCCTGGAATAAAAGTGTCCTGATGTGTTTTCCTTCCTACAACTGCAGGGTATTCCAGGACCAGTTGGGGTTTCGGGACCAGCAGGACCAAAAGGAGAAAGGGTGAGTTTGCTTCTGAACTGACAGATGCTCTATAAGATACAACAGCTCTGAGGGATAGAGGAGCTCTAGGCTTTTCCAGAGCTGGAATTGCCCTCTCCTTGTGCATACAAGACCCTCAGCTTGGCCTCTTTGGTGCTTGAGTATCTCATCCTTGGGGTTTTTCAGGTGCTTTGAAATGCGTGCTTTGCTTTTTCTTCTCTGGTGCTCTGCTGCCTGTTTGTACTGAATAGGAATGTGAACAGTTTCTATTCTATTCTATCCATTTCAGGGCAGTAAAGGAGATCCTGGAGTTGCAGGACCAATGGGGCCAGCAGGGCTTCCTGTAAGTATGGGAATCCTAGGGATTTATCTCCAGAGCCTGTTTCCTTGCTGGGGTTGACAGCTGAAGATGCTGCTGTAATGCAGGGTTCACAGTCACAGCTGGGTTAGGCATAACTCAAGTTACAAGATTTTGTTCACTATGGGAGTGACACAAAAAGCTGATTAGCTCTAGAGCTGACTCACAGTGATGTGGAGGAGGCTGAAAGGAAACTGTTAATTCACCCTGGTCCTTGAACTACCTAAAGAAGCTGTGTGGGACTCTTAGTCCAAAATGCTACTTTTGGGCACGTTCCTTTACCTTTCACAGCCTGGGTGTCTGCCTCCTGCCTGCCTGAGAGCCCTGTCTTGTCATTGCAGGGACAAAAACTGCCTTCAGTGAGGTTAATCCCACTGTCTGGGATTAATTTTTGCAAAATAGGCCCAGTGTTGGTGCTGTGGTCTAATGCAGTCATGGGGCGGCCTTGTTTAACACGAAAAAGGAAGGTTGTTGCATTGTCAAAATTAATTTTGTTTCTTATCTGAAGAGTAGGGTAGGTAGTAGTGGTGTTACCACCTGGATGGTCTGATGGAGGTGAAGAGGAGGTTGCCTGCTAGAAAAGTTTTAATTTTGACATAGCCATTGGTACAAATGGAAAAAAAAAAAAAAAGCCAGAATCCTGAGCATACATTCCTCTCTTAGGTGGGACTATGGTGAAATCTGCTCGTTTTCAAATGTTTCTTTCTGTGTTGATGCATTTCAGGGTTTACAAGGTCTACCTGGTGACAAGGGAGTCCGGGTAAGTTACCAGGCAAACTCCTTGTGTTTAATTGCTAGCAGCCCAGTTAACTCCTGTGCACCTGGAGCAGCCAGCATGTGTTTGTGTGCCAAGCCTTCATCCACGTAACTGTACACCCCTGTGTTTTAGGAGGTGACACCTGTAGCTCGTTCCATCACCTGGAACATTGTGCTACATCTCTCTGAAGGCTGTAGGAGGGATTTTCTGATGTTTTCACACCTCTGTTCTAACTGAAGCACAGGACATGAGTTAGGGCAATGTGGTGTGCTTTAGGAAATGCCGCTTCTGTAGTTACTGATGTGTGTAGGGATTCCTGGCAGGATTAGCTGAGGTGCAGCCAGCAAATCTTATTTCAGTACTTCTAAATTGCCCCTGAAGCATGAAAAAGGTTGTGTTCTAGCAAACAATCCCGCAGAGAATTTGAAAGATGGAAGTTTCAAAAAGATAAATTAAATTCACCTGTCTTGAAGAATCAGGCCTGAAGTCTCCTTTAGGCATTGTCCTGAATGGATGTGATGGTGAAGAGCTGGGTCAAACCCAGTAGCAGGAATGGCAGCTTTCCCATTGTACCACCTGTGTTACTGAAAGATAAACCTTAATAAAAAGTGCATGTGGAGAAGCTCCTTCTTTTTCGTCAGGTTTTGTTGCCTGTTAAGGCTTTGAATCTGAATCTTTTTCATAAAAACATTTAGGAGCTATGGTTGGATATAACTTACATTTAGAAATACAAATGATTATATATTAGAAATATAAATTACTTTTGGATTTGAGTTAGTAATACTACAATTGTATAAATGTCAAGCACTTCAATACAGTACAAGGGTACACCTTTTATTCATAAGACTCTGGCATCACCTAAATTTATCTGGAGGTGTAATTTTTTTATAGAGCATGTGCCTGTGTGATGATTTCACTGTATGGATTTGCTTTTGATGTATAGTGAGTGTTCTCTATCCTCTATCTGCAATTGATTTCTGACCTCACTCTGCACAAGAAAAGGCAGTTTTGGACAGCATTAGCCAACTGGCATCTTAAACTAGGGGAGAAAGGTTCAAGTTTCATGGAAGCACCAAAGTTCTCCCCTTTTTTAATCATTGCATTTCTGGCTTCGCTTCTTAACCTTCTCTTCACTTTTGTTTTGCTTGTGTGGCTTCTAAAAAAATGTCACTTTTAATTCCTAGACTTTTTCAGTTGGTTTTTGAACTGAGTCCTTTAGTTAAAAGAGAGCACTTCCATTAGATGGGATTTCTCGGAGCTCTGGCATAAAAGCAAGTGAAATCTGGGAGAAATTGCAGCTCCTTGTAGAGGATGAGCTGGAAAGCACAAGTGGGGAGTTTTGCTGGCCCCTTGAAGCATCCTCACTGCAGCCCATGGTTTGCAATGGAAAAGTGTGAGGAACTCAGGAGTGTAAATGGGCAAGTGCACTATCTTAGGGGACCCTAGAAAATACCCCTTTTGCCACTGAGCCTTTTTATGGGGATTTCCCCTTACTCCTTACACTGAAATCCCAGTTTGCCAAAATCCTCTCTTTTCCTCTCTGCTTTTTAAATCCCAGAAATGCTCCTGCTGCTCTCTGCTTGGAGCAGGAGATCAGCATAGCTGTGCCTGGGTTGTGGCACTAATAACAGACAGCATTTTGTGTAATCCAGCTGAAAAAGTGTGAACCCTGAACTTGTCCTGCTGTTATTTTAATGCCTGGGGGGAGGTGGGGGGGGTTTTGTGTGTTTGTGCATCTTCCTTGCTCCTACAGGTCCACCTTTGTCCCCTTTATCCCTTCCTCCTCTTCCACCTTTCTTCCTGGTTCCTTCCTCCAGAGCAACCCATGCTGCATTTCTCCTGGATTATCCTCTCCATTCTGGTGCTTGGTTCTGGGTGACTTCTCATTACCTCTCCTCTCCCATCCATTTCTCTTGCCAGCTTTGGGTTTAACACTTGTTTTTAAAAAAGAAGCAGCAGCAGCCTGTGCTGTCTGTTCTTATCCCTTAATTCCTTTAACACTCCCCACAAGGACCCCAAGTTCAGTTCCCTGTGCAGCAGCCCCTTCCCCCTGTTTCGTGCTCAGCAGCTTTGACAATTTCCTGTTATCCAGAAGGGTTTGGTATGGATATAACTGGCAAATACCACACTATACCCTGCCTTGTGCTGCCAGTTAAGGCTCAGGGACCCTGTGGCTCTGTGCTGCCTAGGACTACTTCCTGGTCTAACAGGTTTTTTGGGAGAGCACTTCAGAGCATCCCAAAGGACAGCCAGAATGTGCAGACTCAGAGCTGAGTACTTCCTTGATTCCCTGGCTGACAGCTCCCTAAATGAGACATTCTTTAAGAATGGGAATTCAGAGGGGTAAAAAAAGCATCCCAGTGCTATCCCAGAGCTCCAGTGGCAGAGGGACCTTCGCAGCCAGCTGGAGATTGAGCTGGTGGCACACTGCTGGCCAGAGGGTGGTTTCCCATCCTGTGTGTCTGGGGTCAGCCAGTTCTCCAGGGTGCCCCTCTCTGATGTCTGGGAAGCCCTGAGGAGTGTGTGCTGACCCCTCTGATGCTGAGCCCTCAGTCTGCCAGTGTGGGACTGCAGCCATGGCATTCATGCAGCTCAGTTACAGCTCAGCAGCTCCATACGTTGGTCTTCATGTAACATCTCAGAGGGAGATTTATTTTAAAATGTTTCCTAAATGTTTATCCTTTCTTAAACTATCTCTGACATTTGTTTGAAATGGATGATCCTAAAGCTTTTGTGTATTCTTTTTTTCTTGGACTAAACTATTATTTACAGGGGGAGAGGGGCAAGAAAGGCTCTAGAGGGTCTAAAGGGGATAAGGGAGACCAAGGAGCACCTGGATTAGATGCACCCTGTCCGTTGGTATGTCCTGTTTCATCAAATGTATTGTTTTAAGATGTGTTGATGGGGAAGACAGAAGGAAATCATAACATAAATAATGGTCTTGCAAAAGTGCAACATTCGGATAAGGCCCAGCTGGGTTCCCACCACAGCCTGGGACCAACTGATCTCTGAGTGACCATGGTTATGTTCCTTCCTCTTCCAGACCTCACAAAGGTTTGGGTACATGGGGTATTCCATGTGCTGGGAGCGCAGTGCTTTCTCCACTGCGGATAGAGCCCTGTCTCCTTTGCTGCTGGTTCTTCTCTGGAGATGCTCAATGGGATCAAATCTACGTGGCAGCAAAACTGGAATGCTGGTTTCCTTGCCTTGGAATAACAGCCAGCTGATGTGATGGCCTGAGAGCACACAGGGCACTTGAGCTGCACTACCCAGAGGGAAAACAAGTCTCAGTTATCCTAAATGGGATGTGTTTCTGTCATAACAGATTGGCTATAAGTCTAGGCAAATGGATAAATACAGGAATATGTGTACATTCTTACCTAAATTCATACACTGCAGCAAACACTGCCAAAAAATCTGCTAGCAGTGCCGCAAATCCCAAGAGTTCATGGGGATCGTGCTTTTAGAAATCCAGCTGCTGGGTTTCTTAGTGAGGATTGGAGGAACAGATGATTTTGGAATGGAAGAAACACCATTCCCATCCTCTCAGCTTTAACTCAGAGAACTTGTAGATGACAGAAAACCAGACAGGAAACTGCTGCTGATGCAGGCACAGCTGACTGTGCAGACAGGGGTCTGTGCTGGGTGTGCAGCTGAGTGCCCTGTGCCAGTCCCAGTGGGTTCTCAGCCTCTCCTCCTGGGACACGGAGCTGGCTGGCACTGACTGAAATAACGATAGTGGTTGATTTCATAAACAGGGTCTCCGAGGTTTTAAAGGCGAGAAGGGTGAGCCGGGGCTACCTGGGCTGGACGGCCTGGATGCCCCATGCCCATTGGTATGGTGTACCTTCCCTTTCCTGCATGCTCGTTTGCTTTTTGGCTCTTGGTGCTGTTTTCTGATCCCCCCCCAATTTCTGATCCCATGCCCTAGAAATACCCGGCAGTTCCTTCCTTACCTGTCTCCATATTCCCTTCCTCTCATTGCTGCTGTCAGTACCAGGCCCTTCCCTTCATTCTGATTCCCAGCTGCTGTCAGTAACACTTTGTGGCATGAGAAAAAATAGTTGGAATGTGGTTTTATTTACAACGGCTTCACTTCCTCCTTTGCCTTCACTCTGACAATTTCCAGTAAATCAGTGTATGCAGACCCAGCTCTGAGCTGGCTTGGCTTCCTCACAAGGAGCTGCAGTGCTTGTGTCCTTCATTAACTCTATTTTTAATGCTTGTGTGTGATGAGCACAGCCTGACATGGTTCCATATACCACATACGTGAAGATGACTGAAAATAGTAATTATCCCATAAGTAAGCCCACGTGAAACATATGAATGGGGACACTTAACCTCCCTGCTGGATAATTCCTATTTATGACTCTCCCCAAAAGTCCAAATTGTATCCATAGCATCCAAAAAATTTGAATTTAGTATTGCCTGTTTCCCAATATCCATCTTATTCAAGTGATAAAATGATTATTGTATTAGTGCCTAATCTAGCCCAACTGTTGCAGGACAAAAGTATTCAGAAACACTGAACCCCAACTATTTATCCCAATAAAGGTCACCAATTTATTCATTTTCTCTGAGTTTTCTGAAGATGTAGCAATTCAGGTGATGTCTTTGCTCCCTGGGACAGTCTCAACATCTCTGTAATACGAAGAAATTTGTCCTGCCCTGCCCATCCAGCCCTGTTTGGCATGACAAGGTTTGCTTGAGGATGGCCCTGCCGAGCTTTACGCTCACTTAAGAATGTTTGATGCCATCTACAAGGGATGAGATGTTGTTCAGCTAGCTGGGAAAAATAACCCTAAGCAAAAAGCCACGTTTAGTTTGAAAGGTTTTCCTGATTTCTTGAGGGGAAAAAACTCCAAAACCCCACCATGAAAATGCCTTTTAAAGCCTTTGTTATCTGAGCTTTGTGAAGAGCTAGCATCAGTTTCCTTCCAGTGTTCCCTCCTGTGCGTGTTACCATTGCCTCTTTGGGGCAGTGACCGCTGGTAAAGTCTCACTTGCTGCTCTGTAACTTCTGGGTAGTAGAAACTTCTTCCAGTCCCAGGGGTGAAACCAAACCTGCCCAGAACAGTGCACAAAGGAGGAAGACCACAGAGCCGTGTGTTTTGTCTCCCAATGACCAAAGCCAGGTTCCTGTAGAATAACTTCAGGCTGAAGGCACCTAATTTCACAGGTGCAAGGGTTCCACCAGTGTCCTGACAGATGACCTTTCTGGTTTTGTCGCTGCTCCCAGTGAGGATTCACCCCACATGGCCATATTAGAACTCACTCTTCTTTTCATACCTATTTTTGTGAAGGGAAACTTGCCAGAAAATCTGATGAAATATGGATGCTGTTATTTTTTATACATGATGTTCTGGCATGCAAGCTAGCTTGGGAACGTGAATAAGCATGTTTTTTGATCCAACTAGGTTAAAAGCTTAGCATCCAGCTGACACATCCATGTGTGTAGCTTATGGAGGCTGTGAACTAACTCTCTGCACATCTGAGATATGTGGAAGGAGATCCTTGGTACTAATAAGCATGTCATGTTTCCGTTCTCGGCACATTCGCCCGCAACAAACACTTCCTTGTGACCCTGGTCTTCCTTTGATCCCTAAGCTGTCACTCCCTGGCCTTCCATTCCTTCATACACCTAACTTCCCAACTCCTCCTGCCATGCACTGTACCAGTCATTCCTGTCACCACCAGTGTACCAATGGGAAAACCACAATTTACCCAGTAAATAACTTGCAATTCTGGATTTCCACTTAGTTGGGGGAAGGGGCACGAGGAGACCAAAGTCTGAAAAATGCATTTGAAAAGCAATATTGCTATAACAACATGGCAATGTTCAGTTCATCAGCCCCCTGGAAGTGCATCTCCAGTAAATAGTTAATTTCTGGATATATTATTGTGCATTTGCTTTTCTGTTTGTATTTTTTGGGGTTTCCTGGGGAATAGTGATAGACCATGAGTATGCCACATGCACACAGCACAAGAATTTGACTTCTCGTGTCAGAGATGTATTTCCTTACACCTTGACTTTTATCTGCTGCTCCAGAGCACCTTAGCACTGGTGTCATATCTAGCCCATCAAAGAGGGCTGCACAGGGTTGAAATGAATGGCAGTCATCTACAAAAGCATTTCCCAGCCATGGAGCCCAAAACATCACGGTTGCAGGAGCGCCAGGGGCTTTTCACACAAATCCCACTGATGTTATTGAAGCCAAAGTCCCTTTTCAGGGACTCAGCTGAGACATCCTGAACCAGCAGAGGGGCTGCCCAGCTGCTTGCCTTCCTAATTTCCTTGGAGGAGGATCTCCCCAGAGGCAAGAAGAGATAACTGGACAGTGTCTCACATGACAAAGCAAACCCTTTAACAGGCAGGGCAGAAGGAAATGGAGATTTTTTTCCAGACCCTCCTCAGGGTCTGAGGTTAGTGCTGACTCTGAGATTGGCTTTTAAGCTCAATGTTACAGAGCCAGGCCTGAGGACACACAGCAGCCACCTCTCACTTTCCACTGCCAGTCCCTGGCAGTGTTTATCAGGCTGAGTTGGACCTCCTGGGTTCCTTGTTGTCTTCCTTCAAGGAAGCCTGGATAGACTCCTTTCTTAGGGGAGAGTGGTTCTCAGGTACATAAGTCCCTTGCACAGCCTGCAGGCATTTCCCCTCTTCACCCCAGCCCCTGCTTCAGGCTGCACTTGTTCTGCCAGCCAGAAGTCTGGGTCATCAAAAGGGTGAGGAATATCTCTGACTATTCCTCCAGCCCTGGTTCAAACTGTTTGTTGCAGTAACAGTTAACCCATGCCTTCCTTTCTCCATCTCTGTGCTATTTTCTGTGTCCTAAACTGCTGTTTCTTCCATCTTTTCCACAGGGGGAAGATGGCCTTCCAGTTCAAGGCTGCTGGAATAAGGTAATCTTGGAAATGTTGCTGTGCTGAGTTGGCAGTGCCATGGCTCCTGCTAATGTTTTTCCATGAATCTGGCTAAGGGCAGAAGAGGTGTGGATGCATGGATGGGATTTCCAGGACTGTATCCCAGAAAAGTGGCAACCGAAACTCCTCCTTATTTGTATATCACAGTTCAGCTCTGTGGGTTACAAAGGAGAGAGCTGTATCTGTGGCCTTTGGGCTGCCTGGCCCCAAAGTGCTCTAATCCTTGCACAAAGATGAGATTTCCACCTGGGTTCAGACGCCCCCTGCACTCCCCGGGGTCTGGCCGACCTTCAGTGCCCACTGTGGCACTCCCAAGTGCTCAAGCCACTGTGTGAGGATGAGGGTGGAGGCAGAGTCAGCCTGGGATGAATCCCCCGCCCTTGCTTTGCTACCTGGAGAGGCAGAAAGGGTCCCTGCTGAGATCCTTTTCTTCCTGGAGAGCCCAGAGCCAGCTTCCCTAACAGTTTCCTTCCCCCCATGGCGTGGTCCTTGCCCCTGTGGGCTGTCACTAACACTTGTTTATGTTTTCTTTTGCAGTGATGATTCTAACCCTGGACTGACCTGTGTGTGTTACTGTACATAGAATATTTATTTTTATACGGTGTTCTTCTCTGAAATGCCAAAAGTTAAGCATTTTTACAAATTATCAAAAAGTGGCATATTTTTTTGTACAGAAAATACTAGATTTCCCTTTTTCCCCATTTGTCAGTTCTCTGTATGATCCTATGTCTGCATTATGCTTATTTTGTCATGGAGTACAGCTGTAATATTTACATGGTATTTGTGCACACATGATGATGATATAGGAGCTTAATAAATTATTGCATTAAAAGTGCCCAAAGGAGCTGCCCTGTATAGATTTAAAGGTCATTTTCATTTTTCAAGCTGGATCATTCAAGAATATTTCAAAATATTATGTATTTTTTATTAAAGTGAAATATTAACACTTCTGTTGTGATGAATTACAGTGTTGCTGAAAAACCTCGTAGTAGTCCCCATGCACTGGGAATGTAGAGACACCATAATCTATAATTATCCCCCTATGAACTGGAATAACCCTCATGAAAACGAGCCCTGGTTAGCAAGAAATTCTAATCCCTTTCTAAATTGCAGGCCTTCAAGCAGCTTAATTAAAGCCTTATTTAAAATGAAGCATAACGCAGCATACCTTGATACCCTAACAAATGTGTGTTTGTGAAATCAACCCACGTGGCTTTTAAAAATGTTTACCGAAGGTGGCATGCGAATTTGCAGAGTGTATAATTATAATTTGCATATGCACATCTTAATTATCCTTCCTGACCTACCTTTGTTGATGTCTCAAGTCTAAACTACCCAGAGAGGAAAACACTACCAGGCTAAGGTGAACGTAAGAGCGTGCTTTGCTTAGAAAATGAGGGGGAAAGTGGAAGGCTAAATCTGTTCTCTAAGAGATGTCCACTTGTCTTGGCCCTTCACGTAGTGGGCAAAGGCAGTGGGCAAAGCAGGAGCCTCAGGGGGAAGCTGCCAGTATTTAATGGTCCCAAAGGAGAAACAGGAGTGCTGATTTATTAGTGAGACTGATCCACTGAAGTCCTGCTCTTTGCCACCACAACTGGAATTTGGCTCCTCCTGGCTACAGCTGTGCCAGTGGAAGGGGTCACCACCGTGATTCTCCCTGTACTCAACTATTCATCTGTTCACAAACTATTAACTGGTTATTTTTCCAGATGATTCCATGCAGCTTCTTAGCACCATCATCATAAAGTCACAGAGAAGGGACGTAGTTCCCTCGTACACAGTCCTGCTGGGGACTGCCCAAGGAACCCAGCCCAGGCTCTGACTGCTGCAATCCATCTGTCACCTCACACTTTCAGAAATTTATTGAATTTCATCTAAAACCAGTGAGGTTTTCACTGTCCTGTCCCTCCCTGCCCTGCAGGCTGTTCTGACTCCAGTGCTCTCACAGTTAGGAAACTCCTTGTGACTCTTTCAACCTAAACTAATTGATGGTATTTACAACCATTTGTTCTCATGCCAACATTGTCCTTGGGATGAAACATTTTTAGGCGTGATGTTTTCATGAGATGCTCGGCGTACTGGAGCGGAAACCGCACAGAAAGAAAATGAACCACAGAGCACTGAGGGATTCTCGCTGGTTTTCTCAGTAATAGATGTTGTTAATAAAAGCCTCAGCTCCCTGTTAAAAGGCTTTGCAGCTGTGAAGCTGAGCTAATTGGAACAGCTAATGTTCCAATTGTGTTTCAATTGCACACCTGTTAAAGCAGTTACTTTAAGTTACCAAAGCCAGGTGTACTCCTGCTTTGGGTTTGGAAGGTTGTAGTAGCAGTAATATGTTCTGCTCTGATCTCGAAGCATTTAGCTTCAAGGTAGGATGTCTGAATGCTTCAGTCCCTTCTAAGAATCCTGGCTATTCTTAATCCTTAAAATCACAGAGATCCCATGGAGAACCTGCCAATGCTTACCGTTCCCTTTGGTCTGTGTAGCATGGTTTTTGTGTAGCTGGTTTTTATGACTGCTCCGCATGGGATTGCTGTTGGTTGTTTTTATCTGATCCAAGAGCAAAGCAAGTGCATCTCTGTTACCTCGTCCTGACACAGCTCCTGAAAGGTTAAGGACTCTCAAGGTGATGCTGTACCTGTTTTGTTTCTTGGGCTGTTTTCTGATTGCTGTATTTGTCAGAAAGCTCTTGCCTGAGGTGTACGGGACCCTGAAGTGAAATTGCCAGAACTCTTGAAAGTACCTGACTTGGGTCAGCAAAGACTTAACTGCTACTGGGAAAACGTGTAGGGTACCCACTCATTTAAAGGTTGGGAAAATGGTGACAAATGTTCCCTGGGGCTGTGGCAGATTATAGCCTGGGATTGGAATTGAAGTACAGATAACCATTTTGGATTGCTGTTCTACAGCCCCAATACTGATACAATCTCATCAGCTGCTGGGGATAGACCAGAGGGCTCAAATCAGTGATACCACACTGACCTGCTGCTCTTCCCAAACCTAAAGCATGTCAGAAGAAACCCAAGCGGGGCAGCTGGGTTTGTACCATCCTGAGTGTGGCAATTTAGTTTCAGGCTCTGTCCCTACTGAAACCTGTAACCAGGCTGCTGTTGCTGTGGATTCCTGTCAGTTCTGCCTGTCTGTTTTCATGTGAAACCTTTTGTCTGCCACTTCAAGGGTCAAACTCCTTGGCTGATAGCCAGAAAGTGAGTCTGAGGGTGGAGAAGCTTGGGAAATGGCAGCAGAGTGAAAGGAGAAGGAAGACCTTCCTGAAGATTTACTGGAGATGTTTTGCAAGTTCCCTCCCTGGAGCTTGGGAAGAGTTCCTCAGCAGTGCACCAGGAATGTGTGCCCAGATGCTGGGAATGCGGGAGCTCGGCGTGCCAGCGCTTTCTGCTTTGCTTTCTGTTTTCTCCCAGAGGCCAGTGGCAGGGGCTGAGAATGGCATCATTTATATTCTTTTTCTTCGGTCATTTTAATTTCAATCTACTGTTGTGGTCAGACTCTTCAGATGAAGAATTAAGCTCATTTTCCAGCAGCAGCTACATAAATGAGTGCAAGACACAGACAATATTTCTGGGAGGGGATCCTTTGATCCAAGAAAGAAACCCTTCTTGAACAATTCTCTTTAGAAAAGCAGAGAAACCCCCGTGTTCAGTTCAGGGTGCTGCTCAGAGAGGATGTGATAACACTTTTTGCTACCATTTCTGGTTATCAGGTGACAAACTTCCACCTGTATCATTGATGATTCCATCTTGAACCTTTTCATCACAAACTTTCTTCTCCCATTTAATTATAAGAAAATGACATTGGTTTGTTTGGGGTCTTTTTAAACCATACTGGATTCTGAAGGCATGAAATGTGTTGTCAGAAGAGGAAAATGTGGAGTGTGGAAAAAGTCTGGCTTCACTGACTAGTTCCTTTGCTTCCTTGTGCTTTGGTCTCCACTGCACCCTCCAGATGTACTTTGTCTGGAGCCCTCCAGAAATGGTTTCTGCTGGCCCATTAAGATCCTTTTGTGGGTACATCTCCACAGATGTACATCGAGGTAGAAAAGAAGGATCACAAAGGTTCAATTCCACTGATACATGTTTTAATATGTTCACTAAAGGGAAATAAAGATTTGGCAAAGTGCTGAGGGCTTCAGAGGACGTTTCCCAGGTGCCTGAAGGGCAGAATATTACAATCCTGGATACTTCCTGCCAGCTGCCATGCAAACCTGGCATCCTTTACTC